CGGTTCTTCCGTTCCGGCAGTAGTATATAGAGCCAGCTCGTTCGCTACCTTCCATAGAATCAGACATCTTTATTATACCGACTTTGACACTTGATCGAATACTCTCTGCAGAGGAGCCTACCCACAAAGTTTGAAACCTTTCAAAAAAATGTATCGAAGCGTCTATGGAATCGTTCTCCTGCTGGGTGGCATTTTTCACGGTGTACAAGCGGCACCTAATCTCCAGCACAATATCGATAGCCGTGCGCAGCCAGACAGAGTTACTCCAACCCACGGGTGAGCCTAATCCTTGGAGCGCCTTTTTCGTCGTTATAATATCTGTGCTCATCAATGATCTGGCAGCTACTGGTGCGAGAAAGGGAACCTGGTAAGTCTTTCCTTCTCCTTCAACTACAATGATATCGTGGCCTTCGATTTTTAATGACTGTTCGTGCGACAGGTTATCATCTCGGGATCCATACGAGATGAGAAGCCATGTGGTGGAGATAATGGTCAGTGTTGCTCGACGAGCCCCGATCATACTAAGGGGGATTGTTTGACTTGTCATGCGGTTCATGGCTGTCCCGGGAATTGTCCATGAAGATATTGATGGATTTGAAAGAGGGAAGGGATGAGGTTGTCATGGATTTGAGTTCCATGTATGTGAAGAGGTGGTCTCCTTTGCTTCATCAAAACAGAGAATCAATCCGGCTTCTTCGAAAGGCTTCGCTGCGAAGTTGGTCGCGTAGCTTGCGTCTGTCGAGACGGAGTGAATGGTCAGAATGGTCAGCGTGACGCGACATGCAGATAGAACGCGTATACGTCATAGTTCATCAACGACTTTCGGTTCCTTTCGCAGCTCAAGCGGAGTCCGGTCCGCAGCCAGTACAACGTCCCTCTACACGCATCATTCGCGTCATCTCTTTGCGTGATAGTAGAAGTACCTGGTGAGCTCGTGAGCTGCATTGTTGAACTCTCACCACTCCCTTCCATATCATGCGTCCTTTCTCCCAATCTCTCCTCCGTGCATCAACAAGAGCTACCAACTTTACACCAGTCTCACGTCTCACACTTGCCACGAGACAGCTACGAACCCCAGCTTCACAAACCACCACAAGAGCTTTCACACAGACTACCAGAACCATGTCTTCCGAAAACAAGGATGTCGGACCTCTTAAGATCGAAAGCACAAACATTTCCACAGCTTCCGGCGTAGAACTCTCTTCCCAACAGCAAACACTCGTCGGCTCTGTCCTCGATCTCTTCGCTGGAAGGCCCTCGTTGGCAAAGCTCCAGCTCTGGAAGGATGAGGGAGAATTCATCGATCCGTTGACCATCGCCAAGGGAAGGAAACAATTCGAACCGCAGTGTAAGCTTTTCATTCTCCCATCCTCTTTCCCAAATGCATCATGCCTCTGATCAACACGGATTTGTGATGTATAGGGTACGGCCTTCAATCCCTCTTCTCCGAAATCGAACGTCTTCACCACCAAGTGACATCCTCCGGCAACCCGATCGAATTAGACCTGAAATCCCGCTACGTCGTCAAGGGAATTGGAAAGGAACAAATCATCAACAGCAAGGTCAAGATCTGGACTGAGGGGGATAAGATTGCGAAGGTGCACGATGAGTGGGACGGAAAATTGCCAGAAGGTGATATTGCGCAGGTGAGTGCAAAGTATCTCCCATTGATTAGTCCTTGGTGGTGGTATGCGTTGGCAGAGGGATGGGCATTTTGGGGTTGGAGTTTTGTATGGGGAACGCGGCCTTGGAGGGTGCGTTGGCCTTTCTTTACTCAGCTCGCCCGTTCCCTTTGCTTTGGACTTGATGGTATTCAGGGGTGGTGCAAGTCTTGATTTGAGATTCATGCTGACCTTTCCTCTATTGCAGGCCTTCCAGAGACTGAATGCGAACTCGGTGCCTTTGATGGTCAGTGTGCCGAAGAATGCGGAGGAGGATGCGAAGAGGGGAAATTAGAGTGACGTAGATTACTGTACCGTCAGATGAATGGAATGATGATTGATGACATTCACCTCAATGCTTTTTCGAATCATGCCAATGCGCCAAACTGGCAAATGGTTCTGAACCTGCCTCTTCTCGCGAGCTTGGCCTTTCTTATTCCTTGCTGTGGCTGCGAGCCAGCCGCTCTCCCAAAGACTTCGGAGGCGACTTCGTTCCTTCAAGCGATGCGATTGGCCGGACACAACGGCCTCCAACCGCGATGCATCATCGCTCAACTGTCCTTGCAACACAGTAGCCAACATAACAACCTCACGTCCCTGCATCATCCTCCTTCTTCTCATGCCCCGCCGTAGCAACCTCTAAAATCTCCTCTTCCAACCCCTTCACATACAAAACCTCTATCCCCACCAGCTCCAACTTGTTCCTCCCCTCGTTTACCCCCACAAACGTCTCCGGCTCCCCTACCCCACAAACCACCTTCTGAATCGCCTGACTCCCATCCTTCTTCCTCAAATCCAAGATCCTATCCACACAACTCTTATTCCCTACACTCCTCTTATTACAAGGCTCCATTGTCGTGTATAATATTACGCCGTCCGGTAGATGTTCGCCGAGATCTTCTTCAGTGCAAGAATACTTTTCGGCGAGCTTGATGAAGCAGGATTGTTCGGCGTGAGTGTTTCCTGGCATTTCGAGGGTGTAGCCGGTGATTAAAGGTGTGAGGTCTGGTGGGGCGAGGAGGAGGGCTCCGACGCGGAAGTTTGTGGGTTTGGGAGGGGATTTTTGGGCCGAGAGGAGGGCCAGGCGGAGGTAGTGGCTGTGGTTGTTGGGGCTGAAGGCGGACATTTTTGCCGGTAGTTGACGCTTTGCAGAGAAGGGCGGAGGGGGTTGAGGATGTGGTGGGAGATGAGGAGGAGGATAGATATGGGAGGAGAGAAATGTAAGATGGATGATGTACGTGATGTACGTATAGCTACCTGTGTTAGGGGACTTGCGTTGCTTATGGTGTACTTGAGAGCTGCCCTTGACGCCTAGGCTAGGAATAGTATAGGACTTCACTCTTGGAAAATTGGCATCTGTCATCAACCTAGTAGAAGGTAAGATGGTATTGATTCTCGAAGGTTGGTGTTTCAAAGCAGTGGTGAAATTCCATGCTCCGGCATCGGCTGACCTCGGCTCAGGCTTTGGGTCTTTCCCGACTTCACTCGATGTTTACAACCGCCAAGATGTGGACATCTTTTCCATCACATTCTTTAATCTGCGTGTGCGCAGGGAATCCGGAGCGATGAAGGATGTGAGTATGCTGTTGGCACGTTCTGTGCATTTGGCAACTGACATTGCGGCAGGATGGCGGAAATACGCCGATGATAGTCTCGTTGCTTGCGGGAGGTATTGCGGGAGCTATTGAGGGAGCTGCTACGGTGCATCTCGACCATCCCGACATACTTCCAGCTATGTTCTCTGACCAGTACTGCAGTATCCGTTCGAATTTGCCAAGACAAGAGTTCAACTTCGTGAAAAGAAAGGCCAACCCACGCCCAAGAATCCATTCAAAGTCGTTTACCAAGTCTACTCCAAGGAAGGCATTCGGGCACTTTACAAAGGCTGTCTTCCTCTCGTCATTGGTAGCGTCGGCAAAGATGGCATTCGCTTCCTCTCCTTTGACACAATCAAAAATACTTTCAAGGATCCCGAAACAGGCACCCTCTCCCCTGCTCGCAGCATGCTATCCGGCATGGCTTCCGGGGTCGTAGCCTCTGCCACAGCTGTCACTCCCACCGAACGCATCAAAACCGCACTTATAGACGATGCTCGCACAGAGCGCCGATTCAATAACGCGAGACATTGTGTCAAAACCATCCTCAAAGAAGACGGTTTCCTCGGCCTCTATCGCGGTTTCGCAGGTACGACATTGAAACAAGCCGGCGCAACAGCTTTCCGTATGGGAACATACAACATTTTGAAAGACTACGAACGTGTACGAGGCATCGAACAATCTACTACGACGAATTTCGCGAATGGATCTGTGGCGGGCGTGGTTACGACGTTGGCCACGCAACCTTTTGACATGATTAAGACAAGATGTCAGAGTTCGAGGGGTGCGAGTACGGTTGATACTTTCAAAAGCATCATGTCGGATTATGGTATCAAAGGTTTCTGGAGGGGCACGACGATGAGGTTGGGGAGGACGGTGTTCAGTGGAGGAATTTTGTTCACCAGTTATGAGTGGGCGGCTGCGTTGTTGAATCCGGTTTTCAGGACGGTTGCGACGAAGGATGAATAGATGGATGGTGAGGTTGGATATAGAGAAGAGTTGCATTTGTATGTGCGATGGAAGTGTAGAGACTTTAGTGGGATGCTGACCGCCGCCCGCAGATGCAAGTCAGAGCGACATCCAGTGGCATCTACGTAACGCCGGCACTCTTGCTCACCCAGACGAGTCAGCTTGCAAAGCGTCGGGTCTCGGCAGACCACATGTATAGAGCGTGTTGCCTTGTCTTTTGCTCGTGCAGCACCAAATTTGCAGGAAGCGCGCGTGGATCAATGGTCCCAACACTGGGCGGTACGTTTTCCTCCAATGCACTCGATCGCCCGTTTTTTTTTGGTCTCCGGCTTGGAGCATCCCAAGATCAGTTATCCCGAAAGCCTGTGCTCGGTGAGCATCCTCTCACGTTCATTGCTCAGATTCGCGCAAGGCCTTGTTCGCCAGCTCATTCCAAGTCTTCCCCTTCACTTCTTCCATGGCTTCTAGAACCAGTTTCACATCGTTGGCCGATAGCTGTGCTGCTTTATTTCGCTTGGCGGGATCGCCCAGTCGACTGGCAATAGCTTTTCGCAGTGAAACAATCGCTGACTGTTGGTCAGGTATCCAGAACGCCATTATTGCTAGGTGCTTGATGACGGTGACCGAGAGACCTGCGTGACCGACTTTCTTGGAGATGATCTTTTGTGCGCGCAAGCTGCGATGCCATTTCTTTCCCCAATGAGCCACGACGATTTTGGCGTACTTTTCTCTACGCGACTCTAGAGCCACGAATGGGCCATCATCCTATTGTCTATGGGTCAGCGGATGTAAAGATAGAGGGTGGCAGGAGGAACCCACGGTCGCTCTATCGGGCAGCGCTTCGTGCTCCTCCGGATCGCCGACAGATCGAGCACTCTGGTCTGCGTGACTGAGCAGCGCGGATACGCTCTCGCGCTGTTCTTCTGGCATCGGCGCGATATCTTCGGGCATCGGAGACGGAGGCGGCTCCTCGTAGAGGTCCGAGTCGTGATTAGATGCTGAAAACATGTCGTTGGTGATTAGAGACGGTCAAGTGAAGAAATTGAAGAAGAAGGGATGCGAAGTTAAGAGCCGGCGCGAGGAAGGCGACGGCCCACAAAAAGAGCTTCACTTTGAGCCAAGAAGTGATTGACGACGCGAAACCGGTGAGCAAACAACAGTGGTGGCACACGGGTCACTTCTGCGCACATGCAAACCACCGCACTTACATTCTCGCCTCCTCTTCCGATCGCACACCACGACATCCATCATGGAAGGCTCCAACTCAATCGTCCTGCCTCTTCGAGGCACTCGCAATGTCGTTATGGGCAATACTGAAGACGTCCTCAATAGCGAGCCGCGGCGCGCACCACTCACCGCGGCGAATCTGGCGCTGTTATCTTGTGGTCAAGGAAGCCGGCAGAAGCCCATGAATGTCGAGGAAAGTGAGGACAAAGGCGTAGAGATTACCGGCGAGGTATCCATTGCCCTCTAACTTTTGTGCTCTACGACCATTTGCTGACTCGAGACCTAGAAGGCAGGCGGCGATGAGGGTCACATCGAAGGTGAAAGCACGCAAGTCAAGCCATTCGCGTGGTCGGCCGTCAGATTCACCGCCATGCGTCAGAAGGAAAAGCAAGCGTTCATGGACAGCGCAATGAAAAATTTCTGGCTAAGTGACTTCCTCGACCGCATGCCTCTGAAACCACGCCGCAAGCAAGGCGATATGACAACGCCACAAGCCTTCACCAAGTGGCCCAAGGGCATCAAAATGTCGCTCATAGACCTAGCGCACCACACCGAACTAGAAGAAGCCATAGCGTAAGTGAGCACGAGGCTGAGATCTAGACAACGCATAGCTAATATGCTCCAGACTTCTAGACGAAGTATTCGAGAAGAGGAAGGTGCCAAGTACAGCCTGGGAAGGACTGGATGAGGATATGATTGACGAGGCCAAGGAGATTGCGTGGAAGAGATATCTGAAAGGCAACATGAGCTGGTGTGGAGCAAACCTGCACTAGGCGACATTATCTTATTGTCGCTGTGAATGAGAAGAGGCAGCTTTCAGAGTCCCGCCTTTCAGGTACACCATTCGAAGAACTGGCTGAACTCGTGGTCAGAGTGGAGATAGAAGGACTGTTGCATTGAAACTCCGATTCCCTCAAGGCTTGAGGCTTGTGTCAACTCGACATGTAGCAAGGGACGAGCGATCGAAAGCCGTGGAAGAAATGAAGCCCTCAGAACATGGCAGTCGAAATTATGTCAAAGAAGAATTTTTCTCATGCAGAACACGACAATGCTTTGGGTGGCTACGCCCTGGCCCAACTACTGGTGATCCGACTGGATTCTTAGGCTTGCCAGCTGAGTTAAGGAATTATATCTATGAGCTAAGTGGATGTTTGAGGGAGTTCAAGTGTCACAAATGCATACGGAGTTACGATCGAACAAAGTCATGTCGCGATTGCAACCGTTATGGAATATCGACCATGAAAGTACTCCACTACTGCTCAGAAAGCGCAGAGCTAATGTGCCCTTCAGTAAATTTCGCCGCAAACTAAGGCGGGGAACGGAAGACGACGATCAACCTCTCCCATGGAGCGACTCACCTCTCCTGAGAGTTTCAAGACAGGTTCGGAATGACACCTTGCCGATGTTCTTTGGTAAATTCCAAGTCAATGTACAGGCTGAAGATGCGTACTGGGGGGCGATGTTGCGCTGGTTCGAGCAAATTGGCAAAGAAAAGGTTGCGATGTTGAGAGAATACATTATCGACATTCCCGGAGATTTGTATCTCAAGCTAGAGGATCGGTCGATTACTGATGAGGTAAGTAAGCACTGGAAGCAAGAATTGAAGAAGCTCGCTGGATATGGGGTGAGGATGGAGTCGAACGGAATCCAACGCTTTCGAAAGAAGCTACTGTGGGAGTCAGCCCAGGTGGATGAACGAATCGCGATAGATCGAAAGCACGGCAGAATGCGGGCTTCTAAGAAGCCCAGAGTGTAGCGTTGCGGACGGCACAGATCCTTGCTCTGGTCACGGGTCCAATAGCAATGGCATCGCTCATTTTCGAGTACGAAAGGCAGCAGCACCCGATGCATGTGTTTTGACTGTGCTCTCTTGAGAAGCGAACACCAGCAGGGGCGTGAAGACTCACAAGAATGCATCGCAGCGAGACAGAAGTAGATCAATCGAAAAGCAAGCTTCCAGGACACGTTGTACTGGGGTCGCCGTTGGTGAAAGTTGGCTCGATGCAATGTCGCTTTTGATTTCCTTGCTGGCTATCATTTGGTGGCATGTACTGGAATGAAGAAACAGAGATTAGCCTTGAAACTCGCATCGAGACACAAGTTTGCGAGCCTTGGTACATGCATACTGAATTTTAGACGGTACACACAACGTCTGGTTTCCCCTCTGTTCTCTTCAAGTGTCGAAGCTTTAGAAGCGTCGCGCCGCGTCACCACATTGTTCCTTCCAACAACGGCTTCGGAAGGTGCAGTCTGAAATGGAGACAGGATAGCGGTACTCCTGCTCGGATATTCAACAAAGCGCTATTTAAGGCGCTGTACATCCATCAAACATTATAATTGGCCTCTGAAGAACCCTATGCAGGCTATGACAACTGACTAGGCCTGTCATTCACCATTGATGCCGCACGTGTATTCACTCTGCTTACGTTATCAGCGACCTCGGGCTCTTTAGTTTTCCAATTCACAATCAATTTAAACCACACCATTGCTACAATTTGGATGGCGACAGTTGAGCCACCTCCGTCACCTGCCTCTCACCCCTAATAACGCCTTGCCCAACTCGACGAACTAAGCTCAGATGTTCCATGATGGCTAGACCATCTCCGCATCCTGTGGTCGGGTTGCTCGCGAACTTACAACATGAATACAACAAACTCGAGTCGAAGATGGACCAGCTTTGCCTCAATCTCCGCCATATGCCACCAGAGTACAACGGCAATGGGGCTGAGCTCCTTCTCACACAAGGCCCGCCAATTATCGGCCAAGATTTTGAAGACCGCCAATTGCGCACTCTTCGAATAGTGGTCTACAGTCGGGTTGACAGAATCGTTAGCGAACATTACCAGCGAAGTGGAAGGGTATGGCAGCACGTTTCAAAACGATTGGATCGTACTTTCATTGAGCTGCAACGTATTGAACACAAGATGTTGGACCTCGAAGCTGAGATTGATCGTGACGAGATCGAGTACAGGCAGAGACCGAGTCTCGTATACTCACCATCACTGCATTCGTTAATCAGGTCTGGCCGTCCGATTTGATTTCTTGACCTGCCAGCGGAACTGAGAAATTACATCTACAACCTGAGTGGATGCTTGGGTTCGCGAAAACGTCGCGGCAACTGCAAGTGCAATTACGACGAAGGGCCATTCGAAGGCCGCGTCTGCTTGCGTCATGAGCGACGACCACCGATGTAAGATCTTGCCTCCATTTGACCGTCTTCCTTTGTGGCAGTGCTGACCCGCCACTCTAGTCGATTCTCTGCCACCGACAAACTTCGCCAAGTCAAGGAGCCAGCCCTTCTTCGCGTCTCTAGACAAGTCCGAAGTGACACGTTGCCAATGTTCTATGGGAGGCTCGCCGTCTATGTAGATGGCAATGCCGGATCCTGGACAAAGATGTTCAGGTGGATCAAGACTCTCGGCAAAGAAAAGGCAGCGATGCTGCGGGACATCAAAGTCGAACTTTTGGACTATTTCGATTTTGATTCAGAAGTGGAGCTGAAGCGGGCTGAGGATGTCGGACGCAAGCAGCTGGAGAAATCACTGAAGAAGCTCGCTCAATTTGGGGTGAAGGTGGACCAAAAGGGGCTTCTGTTAATTATCAGCCGATACCATCGGAACATTTATCGTCCACCATGGGAATAGATATGGGAAAAGGCGTTGGGAGAGACGGAAGACATCGTAATGTGCTGCCTTGACGGGCGAACGATTGTAGACGAAACTGGGCTCTATTTGCCCCTCAGTCTGGTACTAGAAGTATAGCTGATTTCAGTGTGTGAAAATCAGCTGTATGCTTCTCGAGTTTGCGACTGGGCTGACTGGGCAAGGGTGCCGCAGCGGAAAATTGTGGAGGCTCAAAAGTATGCGTTTCCAAAGAGAGACAGACGCGAATTGACAGAAAAGCAAAAGTTCAGGATGCGTTGATGCTCCCTCCCCATGAAATTCCTGCATACAGTATTGAGATTGCTCTCAACTTCTATCGCTTCTCTCATAATTCTCAGGACCCAGGGATGCTGTGCAAAGGTTGCTTTTGAGCCGCTTGCCGTGGACTGGTGGGATAGCAGGTATTCGAACAAAGGAACAGCGACCACCCCCAGACTTACATTGAAGATCAATTTTGGACATTTCAATTCATACCTACTGACCTCCGGAAGATACATACGGGGTCTGACATTCTCTTTGGTCCCATGTTTCTGGAGCCTTTCGCGCAAGCTCTTGTACTGTCATGAGCAATTCTACTGCTACATGTAATGCTCTGCCTGCACATACATCAGTGGCTCGGCCAATACCTGGGCGGACAGCATAGATCATACATCGTCCGTCAATTGGTTGTGCAGGGGCTTGTGTGCAACATGACTCACGAGTGAATGTGCTTACAATGCGGAGCCTGCTCATCATTCACCAAGACTAGGCTTGTGAATCTTGGCACGATCTGTGTGGAGAACGGACAATCGACTATAATCTTCTTCCCTGACAAGGCTCGCAAGACAGTACACGATTTCGGACTTGACTTGAATCTTCCGGGAGGTAGTTTATCAGCGCCAAAGCACTACAGTCATGGCATCTACGAGTACTTACCCCGTCATCCTCCTTCGCAACAGTCTGAAGCGAGAGGTTGCGGCCCTCGAGTCGAAATTTCCTCCGCTGCGAAAGCAACTGCGAGCCTTGCGCATCGATGCATATGACAACTTAGGCAGTGCATTAATCGGACACCTTGCACGTCAGTGCGAGGAATGCAAGCCTCGCAAATACTCTTCTTGCAAGTATCCGACGCTCCACTCGATCGCTCATCGCCTTCACCGATCGAAGCAAAAAGTGGTCGCCTTTTTGTCTGGCTCCCCTCTAGTACGGAGAATCATGACAGCATTGGGCATCACTATCGACAGTGGCAGCGAAGGTACGTCCATTCGCCATTGCAGCCTCAAGAGCTGCAAGTACCAGCGCTGCAAATGCTTGCATGGAGAACAAGAGAGCGTCCACCGGAAGGTCAACTCGGCTTTTGGTCAGCTCCAGGTTGAGCTGGAGGGCAAGATGACCAGTATTCATGGTGAGATCGACGCATTGCGTACGACTCTCAAGCCCTGGAGAGCCAAGCTTGCTGATCTCGAGCACGAAATCAAGAGAGATGGCATCGTGCTGAACACTGCCCTCAAATTCTGCCCTGCCTTGCATAAGGTGTCCACAGGCAGTACGGCCCCCACCGGTTTCCTCGACCTGCCACCCGAATTGAGGAATGAGATCTACAAGTTGAGTGGTTGTCTATCGCTTACTCGTACGCACTCCTCACCTCGGACATATCCCACCACACGATGCTCGATTGGAGATGATGAACAGTGCCAGCAGGGAATGGAGCAAGAGGGAATCATGTGAGTTACTGCTTGATTTCAGAACAATCACCAGGTCCGAGCTCACTTCTTCAAAGTCACCTGCCCATTGAATGTGGACACCATCGGTATAGGGTAGACGCAGTTTCTAGGTCTCTGGATTCGGCCTCTGGCACTGTGTCTGCGTATTACCAGCCATCCCTGACCCGAGTGAGCAAGAAGATCCGTGCCGAGACGTTGCCGATATTTTATGGCAACATTCATGTCACTTCTTACCATCAGCGGGCAAATAGTGACTGGGAAGACGTTGAACTGAAGTGGATCAAGCATATTGGCGAGATTAATGCTGGTATGCTGAATCGTGTCACTGTTGAGTATGATTTCTGGGCGAAGTGCAGCATCCAGGAGAAGAAGAAGGAGATATATGAGGTCATGAAGCGCTTGGGCGTGGAAGTCGATCGGGAAGGAGTGCTCGAAATCGTCCCACCTCTAGTTTGGTGAAAGAACGCAGCATCATGCCTCCAGGCTTTATTCTTCTCCTTCTCCAAGATATTGCTTGTATATCCTGGCTCGACTTATATCGAAGACTCGGATTGCTATTGGAGGCGTCCGTCGGAGTAAGAGAAGCGCATCCAGGTTCGATGGAATAACATGGTCGCGTGCGACACTGATCCCGCTCGACTACCGGAAAGCAACAAAGAAGCCAGGATTGAGGCTCTGCGCTCCTCTGCCCTTGGAAGTTCAGTGCCTCTTCGAGCCTCGTACCTCCGCTTTGTATAGCGGTAGCTAAGGCGCTCTGTCTCGACAAGCGAGGCAGCTGCGGGATCCAATTCGCGAGGAGATATCGCAAAGTAAGCGTATTTCCCAGTCTCCATTTTGCTGTCCGCAACTAGCCCGCTTTCCCGCACGCATTGAAAGTCCAGATAGATCCGCCAGATTCAACTCGCCTAGCTCATGAGCCTACACTGCTCTGGCATCGCCTCATCGCAGGTGTGAATCAGGAGAGGCAAGTCTCAGAGCCCCGCCTGCTTGATCAAGAACTTCCTCACACCACAGGGCTCTCTACGATCCTTGGGATACTTCGCTTCAAGATCTTCGTTGATGGTGCGATGAACATGCCTGCGGCGGAATATGCGGCCGTCCGGCGTTGCGGGCTCCAGGATCAGATAGCATCGATGCCGCCGGAGATGGCCATCTTCGTTAGTGGCCAGCTTCATACAGTCCAGATCTATCAAATACTTCTCCGAGCCCAACAGCTCGGCCTTGGATTTCAGCGAGAGACCTTGATTCGTCATCTCGTAAGGGTACTTGTTCTCGAAATTGCCTTCGTCAACGACAATCTCGCCGCACTTTTCGAATGGAGCTGGGGAAGGTGCCAGAAGGCCGTACCATGCTAGTCCGAACTCGCCCGGAAGATCCCATCCCCATGCGAAGATTGATTTGTCGTCTGACTTCTTGATGATTTCTTGTTGAAGTCTCATGAAAGCTTTGAGCCTGTCATTCTTCGTCAGCGGCTTCGTTAGAGGAACTGTCGGTATCTGTGCCCCATTGCAGTGAAGACAGGCAAAATACGGCAGTCCCGGACATTGGGAAAGAGATTTCTGGGTTTCGTCGAACGTGTTACTCACATGCCCTCGCCGTATAGCATCGGCATATTGACATCGAAAAGTCCGAGCAGGCAATACGCGAGATCTTCAGGCCTGGTAGTGATCCTTCGTGCTGCCCAGCTCATCTTGCGAGCCACGCTTGGCCTTTGGTGATTGAAATTATTGAGATCGTACAAGCCGATTCCGGTGATCTCTGACACCGCAGTAGCGATATAGTCATCTTGTCGACTACCAATAGCCTGCCATTGAGCATTTAGAAAGGTGACTTCAGCGGGTGCTAGCAATTCTTGGAGTGTCCATCCGCGCCCGAACCAGCGGCTAGCTCTTAGCTCGTCTAAAATCGTCAATTCGTCTGCAGTTCCCTCATAGGAGACGTCTTGAAGATATGCATAGCATGCTGCCGAACGCTGGTACCTGTACAACGTGAGTACAGTCGTAGAAGCCCCGAGGCAAGACGGCATCACACCAGCGGTACATGCTATTGATAGCTTCAGACAGCTCAGCGCTTGATCTCTTGTCTATACAGCAAGTGTCGATCCAGATATAAGCATGTCTTTGAGCTTTTGCATATTCGCAAGCTGCAACAATCTTGCGATGGCCAATGCTGTCCTTGTTCAATCCTTTGCGGAACTCTTTGAACGTGACTTCGTCATCGCTCCAGCGATGAGAGAGGACAGCGTATCGGCCATAGGGTGTCTTGTCCTCTGTGAACTCAACAAGCTTTAGGCTGTGAGTGTCGACGAGGCGCATAGTTGCGCAATGCTCGATCGCTGATGGACAGGAGGAAAGAGATGCAGGCTGCCAAATTCGTATGGAGACACGACGGCCCAGCGTTGGCTAAACCGGCCTTCAAACTTTGATTAGAAATGGCGGAATTAGCACAATCTGTAATCGGCTGCTGGTCAAAGCAGTTCTAATAAAGCGAGAGCTAAGAGAGGTGCAATATCGAGTGCGTTGTGAGTTCTGCGAGCTCATGACGAGCAGGATTAATGTATTATTTACACCGAATATTGCATTCTATATGGCCCTGTTTGCCGTCCTGTTGATTTTAATCCTTCCGTGAATCGTCAATCACGATTGCGAATATGTCTTTGGCCATCTTCTTAATGTCCGCATCATCCACTTGTGCCAACGCAGTCTTGATCTCTTCAAGAGTCTCTGGCAGAACGCCTCCACGGCCTTGCGAGTAAACATCAATGCCCGCAGGCGTGAAAAGCGTCTTCGCGAAGCACGTTACTGCCCACTTGTTGCCATTGTTGTTCTGCTCTTCTCCCCAACCTAGAACCTCCCAATGGCTGCTGGCGATCATGAGCCAGCCTTTGCCGCGCCAGTTCCATTCGCCTCTACTGTCGCCAGTTCCTGCTACTGTATCGACGCCCCGTATCGTAGAGACCTTGACGCCGTGGAGCGGCTGCGAGGTGACCACGTCGTCGATTCTGTCCGTGTTCTCTTTCGCGATAGATGGCGACGATGGGTCTAAGGGCGTGTATTGAATGCGCACATTCTTCTTGCTCTTCCACATGGGGAGACTAGAGTGCGTGACGTGCCAGGTCTCGGTGAGCCATGCTATTGAAGGATTCTTGAAGTCGGCTGGAGGATTGGCGGGTGAGAAGGTTGGCGGGCGCAGCGTGATGGCGGACATGTCTCCGGGTACTTGTCGAGTCGCGGTCAGATTACTGATCCGCGCTGTGCATGTTACATCGCGACGACTGCGTGGGAGTCAGAGAGAACAAAGGCTAACGGACATTGGCGTTGCTGTCGATCTGTCTTGGTCAGCAACAGCGGATGAGGGCATGACATCTTCTGTTCTCGAATCCACATCTCTCAGCCACACCAACAATAGCACATTGACTCACACTGTGCACAATCTCCGGTGTCTGGCCATATAAACTGGACTACGGACCTACTGGACTGGACTGGTTCTGGATTGTATCCGCGCGTATGCCCAAGAAACAACGCAACAACTATTTGAAACAACTGCAAGGCACATCGAGTGGCAACAAAGCTGCCGGCACCAATGTCGCCAACACCAAATCCTCGGTCAACGAGAAACTCAGTGAGCTGAGGAAACTCGGAGGGAAAGATGCTGCGAAGAAGAAGGCTGAGCTCGCTGAGAGCGCGACCAACCACAAGTCAGTACATCCGTCCTTGAAAGGCATCCTAGGAATCGCAGAGAGTGCTCCTCCAAAACCCAAGCGCGCTGCGCGAGTACGACTTCCCAACAGGACTCCAGGCCCCGCCCCGCCAGCGAGTTGGACCAAAACACCAGGATGGACCCGCTCTCTGGCACTGAGAACTGGACAGAGGCGGTTTAGGCGGAATGGCACAACTGACATTGATCGCAATAGGCCCGAGAAGCTCGGGAGATTTGCTTTGTTGAGTAGCATCGACGACGATGACGATTACAATCGACGACCAGGAAGCCTGGTGCATTTTGCACTCAAGACTGCCGCCGAGAATTGGGATATGTTCGACGAGGAGGACTTGCCGATGCTGGCCGAATTGCCCTTGAGACTGCGCCTCAAACTACTGAGCTATCTCGGTTTTTACGGACCCGCGATAGACATCAATACACTTGATGCCTTGACAAGCGGCACGGAACCATTGTCACACCTCGATCTTGCCGGTCTGATCGGCAGCGATGGGCTATCCATACCACGCCTTACCAAGCTTGCAAAGGAACAGAAGCCTATGCCTCAGTCGGCAGAATCGACAACAGATGCTGTGGTAGAATCCTGGGATCAAGATTCGAGCTTCGAGGCAGCTCTAAGCATGAGCATACCAGAAGCTCGGTTCTCCAGTCTGACACATCTTTCACTTTCTCACCCACCACCAGGCGTCTCCTGGCGAGATCTTCTGGCACTTTCGAGGCATACACCAAGTCTTGCTCATCTGTCGCTCGCATACTGGCAACGACCTACCTTGACGCCAAATCTGGCGACAGCCACAGTCTCGAGTCAGCATAGCCCCGATGTGCACGCAGGTGGCTCACACTACTACTCTGCGCTGGATCAAGACATGTATGAGCCAGCAGCAATTATCCGGCAACTCAGCAATAACCTGTTGAGCCTGAGATGGCTGGATCTCGAGGGTTGCACAGATTGGTGTGCGGCACTGTCGTTCGTGTGGAATTCCGATGCCGCAACCAACGATGTCGATGACACCTGGGCACAACAGTCCACCACGACCAGTATCTGGGCAGGCAACTGGAAGAACTTCTCGTATCTCAACTTATCCCAAGGCTGGGTCCCAAACATTGCAACATTACACCTCTTACCACGACAGCAGATGTCTAGCTTCCGCAAAGCATTGCTCGACAAGTTCACAGAGCAGGTCGGCCTGGCCCAGCTTGGGCTGGAACAAGAAAGCGATAACATGAGTCTTGTGGCCCAGCGGAAGGCTCAGATATGGTCAGAGGTGGAGGAGCAAGCGATGAGGGTTGGAAGAGACATCAACAATCTGAGACGCAGCGAGCATGTCAAGTACATGGATGTTGATCACGGGTGGTATGTGCAATGACAATTTTATGAGATTGAATTTTCTTCGACCGGATATCAAAGGACGCAGTATCTGTCTGCGACTGAGCTCAAGTCCAAAAACTTTGCAATACCCAACTCCGAACTCCCAGAATTGTCTCTGTATCAAGCCATTCTGGCGACACTATCCCAACTTTCCCGAGACCACCAAGAGCGATGCTGAACGCTAATGTATCATCACAATGTCTGTACTAGAGTAAACCATTTCTCAGCACCCGAATCTCATCTGGTTCCTATGCTGGAAAGGAAAGTTATCCTCGCCGCCATTCTTCGACACGACGTAGTTGTATTGCTTGTCTGAGATCCATCAGTATGGTGGCCTTGTACTTTCCAGAGCAACGAGTGACTTACCGGATGGCCCTGCTGATGATCCCGGCTTCTCCTTGAACATTGACTTCAATGCAGACAGCTTCGATTGCTTCTTGACGCTTTCGATCTCCATCTCCTTTTCTGTAACATCGACTGGTGATTGTCCTTTCGTTGCGTCTCGGTATGATGGGAGAGATTTGTCGCCGGAAACTTGTTCGAGAGTTTGGCGTTGGTATTGGGTGGATTGTTGTTGTTGTTGTTGAGAAGACATAGTGGTGTTGATGATGTTTGTTGTAGTAGTAAACGTCAGGTTTTGTTTCAATGTCATTTATTGCTTCGAATGCTGAATTGAGTTCCTGTGATGATGAGGAGAAGCTATGTGAAAGGTCTTACACTCTTGCTTATATGTACTTCTAAAACCATCACTTGATCTATGGTCAGGCAACACAATAACACGCACAAGTCGCAGCCTTCCGCTGCGCATGGGAATGCATTGAGTTTCTAAGCGAACGCCGAGCATACCACAGCTCTCGCGTGGCTTCATTAGTCTAGGGCTGAATCCCTCACACGCATGATGACTCGGACTACTTGCATGCTGCTTGTGGTAGGATTGACCAAACAGAGAGCAGAATACTTCGGAGTCACGATGAGCCACTTCTCGTCATCACAACATCGCCTCATTATGGCTGCTACTAGATTGAATTCACATGCTCGGATTTCGAGCTTGTATGTTCGGTGAGGCAGACCGCAGGACTTTCTTCTAATGCAAGTGATTCTGCTTGCCAGCACGCGATGCTGGGGTCTGTTTGGATCGCTTGCTTTGGATCGGCGCGGTGCATTCGATGCCTGCTCTTGTTCACCGCGTAGAAGCTTGATTTAATCCCTATCTTCGGAGGATCGATGCCGGAATAGCCAATTGAGAATCGGTGTGCTAGTGGATTGGGTTACTCAGGCAGCATCATTCTGAGCTATCGCTGAGGACCAATGGTGTGGGGAAGTGAAGCTGTGAAGGGGAAGGAAGAACTCAGCACTCGGAGTTCGGCTGGTCTGTGCACATTGCAAATGCCGACAGCTTCCGATGTTGTTTCCTTCCCACTTGCAATGTCATCTTATGGGCCGTCCAAAACAGCCATGATTTCCTCGAGATGCGTCTAATACCAGCCATCAACTTATCATCGTTGATTAGTGATGCGACGGACCAAGCCTGCTGCGAGGCGGTTACCAAAGTGGAGAGATGTCGGCAGATGCGAATCATCGCGAACGCCGCGTCTTGGCCACGTTACTCCGCTCCTCGGATGACTAGCCACTGACACCGCACTCTGTCTGGTCCTCCTCCACGTTTTCTTGTTGCCTGAAGCAGACTCCATCCATGCCACCGGCCTGGTCTGAAAGGTGAATGCGGCTAAACGCTGGAAAAGCGGTCCAGGATCACGTCTCTACACGGCAGCCTAAGCTAATGCTTCATTCCGCGCCTGCATGCTCATCTTCGCCGTTAATACGGTCTTCACTGGGTTACGATAACACCGGGGAAGACGAGAACGTGCTGGAAATCTTGTATTCGATGCGCAGCTGAACCAACCAAGGACCATGTTGTTCCAAACAGATTTGTCTGGCGCCAATGGCCCCGCGACAAATGTCCCGCCCACAACTGTTGAGACTGGTCTGGTCCCCTCATATCGACGTAACGGGTATGTTGCTTGTCACAGAGCCCGTATTATCGATGACTAACTGCAGTATAGGAAGTTGTTCAGCTGTGAACCAGTATGATCCCAAGACCTGCTCTGCTACACATCTACTGACAGTGTGACAGTGTCGGCGAGGGAAGCTGCGCTGCGATCACAGCACGCCGATATGTGGAAGATGCGCTCGTCGAGGCAAAGAGAGTGAATGCGTCTATCACCCAGCACCTTTGACCAAACCTCGCATGTCTTCTGGAGCAGGTCCACTTCGCACGAGTAATCCCGCTCGAACCTTACCACAAGTACCTTACCCAACTGAAAGGCTCGATAAGCAACGTCCGAATCACCTAGCTAGTCCGCCGTCAAGCGCAAATACGACCTCAGGCCAGGAAGAGGCCCTATTGCATGTCAACGGCACTTCTCTTGGCCAATCGCCGATGGTACGATCGCCTCTGGTACGGATGGTGTCGCCTGCAACTGGCAGCTCACGAATCTCATCGATAGACTCACATAGAAGCCCTGCGAGTGCTATGTCGTTTCGAGACAGCAAGACTGGATATCTCGGTGCTACATCTTACTCGGCTGTCTACGAGGAGAATTCGAGTATATTACAAACACCGGAGGTCGATGAAGCAAGAGATTTGCCAGTGACCAGCGCAGAAAAGATACAACAAGGTGCTCAAATTCTCTCTATGCTCAAGGATCTTCCGGTGTACCGCAAATATATGGGCAGATGGTTCGAACTCTGCGACGGCCTCGTGATCATGCAGCCGATCTTCAAAATCTGGATCGATGAGCTATGGACCGAATTTGGAGATGTGCTCGCAGAAGGGAAGACAGAACAACTCCTCGCGCTCTCTGAACTGGTGTGGAGAAATACCCGCCAGTCAATGAAAGTCCACGGCGACATGACTGCCAGAGAATGGTCCAAATCTGCATCCGGCCAACACTTGCGCTGGGAAGTGGTCGGCATAATCCTCAGCCTCGTGGGGCTCATTGCTGTGAACCTGAGCAACTGGGACACAATATTCGACTCTGTGCAAGAGAGTTATGTCGATCGGGCGACATTTGCCGACCGTATGCGCAAAGCATCGGAGTTTTGTCTTTGCTTCTGCTACGAATGCGAGGTTTTGAACGACATCTACCTTTGTTTCATGTACGAGGATTTGATCCTGGTAGAGTGCATCAAGGGCGATGCACACTACGCTGCCTGGCAACGAACTGGAGAAGTCTGCGATGCTGTCGTGGCCATGGGTTTACATCAAGGCAACAAACCCGACGCTCACACACCTTTCTTCCTTTCAGAATTACGAAAGAAGATCTTCATCTCTGCGTTCGGTCACGACAAAACCATTGCCACATTCCTAGGTCGGCCTCCGAGATTATCGCACAGATATTGCAAAATGGAATCGCCACTGGATCTCTCCGATGAAGAAGTCGTTTCCGAGGGCGCAGATTTACAAGCCGCTTTGTCGCAACTGGACGAAAATGGCTGGAACACAAGCGGCCACCTCCACCGCAACACTTGGCTGCGCGTCTGGTTCAAACAAGCCAGTCTGCGAGAAGAAATTCTCGAAATCGCACTCGGCACAGACGAAGAAGACATTGCTCAACAGACTGAGCAGGTTCGAGTGAAAATGGAACGCCTCCACAAGAGTCTTCCGGATTTCATGTGCATCACTCCCGAACAGGTCCTGAGCGAAGGTAATACATATCTTGGAATGGGATTCCCAGTGAATCGAGTCAAAGATGCGACGCGGTTGGTGCACTTTTGCATTCATACCGGGATAGCGCATACTGAGTTTCTGTTGCAACGAGCGATGGTCAGTAGATTGCGCACTGACACCAAGAAACTTATTCCGATCGCCCGAAGGATGTTGAAAATGGTCCTACTGGCTCAGTCGAAGAAGGAATTCTTTCGAGATTTTCAGGGAGATTTGATTTATTTGGTAAGCTTATTTCTACACGTGAAGAAGGTTCGGTGGAAGAGTACTAATAATATCATAGCTTGCATTACACGGTTTGCCAGCTGCTGGTGTGCTCGCAGTTGAGCTGCTCACGCAAGAACGGACACGACAATGGACACCCGACCTCCTGCCTCGCTCGGAGACCATTCAAGACCTGAGCGTCTTCATCTCCGCACTTTCGGCAGTCGGACCAGGAGAGGGGAATTTCTTCATCTGTGATCAAGGTCGCCGAGCTCTGTCCAGAGTGCTGGACCAGATCTTGTCCCCAAATCCACTGCCTTCATCAGCGCCAGCGACGAGAGAGGCTGCGGTATATGACGACTCGTCGTCGACGTACTTTCCCATCGGCAATGACGCGGAGTTTCTGCAGTGGCTGGAACACGTTGAGTGGGATAAGAATACTTGGATCGAGCCTCTGCCTTCTTCGAACCTGGAGGCGCCATGATCGGGAGCTGTTGGAGAAGAGGCCTTTCCCAGTGAATATCGACTGCAGTATTTATTGCGTCAGGCGTGTGTCGGCGGGTAAACCTGGACCGGTGCATGCGCAGCAGGCTTCCAAGGAAAATCGGATAATGCGACATCCTGGAGAGATATCACCAGCGTTCAATCCAAATTGAGCCACTTAGTAAGGAGTTGAGATTGTTGATACGCCATCCGTCGATGGATGGCGGCCACTTGATTTGCGTTCAAGTGTCTTCTCCAAGAGCTGTGATGGTGATAATGGGCAACCTTTTCATCCGCCGAATAGTCTTGGGTGGAGTGTAATCCATGCAGGACTGCTCGGCGACGGTACACTCCTCATCCTCCTGACCATAGTCCGGCTCCAACGAGAACTCCACGTTGGAAATGAGGCCATGCCCCGTCAGGAGGGCGCCGTAGTCTTGCTTTCCACCGAACTCTGCCTGCTCTGGAGTCGATGGTGGAGTTGGAGGATCATCGAGGTCGTCATCAGACTCGTCGTAGACCTCGTCTTCGTCGTCATCGTCGAGTATCTCGTCGTCGGCATCCTCAGGCAGGTCGATACTCCGTAGGATGGCATCGACCTGGCCGCGACGTATTGGCTTGGCCGTCACGCTGTCACAAAGGACTGGCGATTCGATGTAAGGCTCCAATTCATCAATGTCGAAGTCGGGGTCGACCTCTTCAATGGTCTCCGCCAGATCGTCCAGGAGATTTGCATGCCCGACTAAGCACCTCAAGTTGTGATCCTTTCGTTCGGCTTCCTTCTGCAGTCGACTGCGGGCGATTCTGGCAATATGATATGCTTGCATGATTGACTCTTCTTCCCTGGTTTTACGCTTATCCTCCTCAATCGTAGCCTGCACCTCTGTAGCAGTAGTTGAAATTGTAAGCCGGGACGGCTTCTGTGGTCGGAACAGCATTTGACAATGACCGGAATTCTGAAGAGCCTGTGCCAAGTTCCCTTCGACGGGTTTGAAGTGGCTCTTGAAAAGCTTGAAAGATGTCCAGTGTGGCAGGTGCATAGTCGCTGAAGTGTGAACAAATATGCTATATCATTATTGGGAAATTGGGCCAAAGAAAGTTTCCCTCTGAGCCGTTGACGTCGAGCGTGCACTCATCAATTTTGAAAACTTACTTCTCCTGGCGGAGGTCGGAAGCGCCAGTGACCGTGAGCATCCCTATACAGGCGCCCTGGGCACGAGGTATAAGCAGGCGCGACCGCTGACAGGGTTGGGAATTACAGATCGTGTAGACGGACGGCGTCATGGTGGGTTCCGCGTGCGCGCGTTATGCATGGCAGTCGTCCGCGGAATCCGGACGAAGCCGATCTGTGCAGATGCCGTCTCAATGCTAGAACTCCACGTTGACGTTCGGAAAGTTTACCTTGCGCCAACGACGACAGTATTCGCGCTCTCAGATAGATTTGGCCCTTCTTTGACACTGTAGCGATGTTCTTGAAGGCATCCGAGAGCCGATTGTAAAGATCTGTCGCTAGACGATCGCCGAATGTCTGGTCGCGAGCATGACTTACTGCTTACTTGAACCAGCCACTGCAGCAAAATTCCTGCAGCACTAAAATGTTATCAAGCTTTGCGATCCACGCGACAGCGCTCTGAGGCGGCGACGGCGTTTCGGTCAAGCACCTTTTGCGAGCTTGGCGATTAGCGAGCAAAAGCATCGGATCCTCCGCTTCCGACTTTCCATCGACCTCAGGAGACCTGGTCGTTGCAGTAATAAGGACGATTCCCTGCGATGACTTGGAATCTAGATCCGTTGTCTGAAGCACTTTTTGGACCCGATGACCTGAGTGTGCAGGATTTGCTTCAGCGGCGGTCACCGTCAGCTGCTGGGAGGAGTCTGAGCGAAGATGAATGTTCAGAGCTACCACAGTCACCGCTCTTACGTCTGAGGCGCCACGAGGGTGGAATATGTTGCAGTATCATCTCTGGCTTGTCCCAAACCTTTCATGAGCCCCTCAAAGCGATATTTTGCTGCACTTTTCGGTGATGGGTCTTGCAGGTTGGGAATGACACATCGGTGTACTTCGCGCCGTGATCGCCGGAGCACAGAGGGACGCCGGTGCAGCTATGGTGAGGGACCTCGGCGACGATTCGGTGATCGGTCTGTGAACGACTTGCGGCAGTCATCATGCACATTGTACCTGTCGGCCTGAGGCTGTCGCGGGCGGTTGTTGTCTCACGAGCGCGTTGTTGGTCCTTTGTGCGTTCCATCAGCGCTGACTGTGCTGAGGCGGAGGTGGGATGGCCTTGGCGGGCAGGGATCTTGCGGGTCGAGCCGTCTTCTGCAGAAGTAGAAAGTGTTGTCACAGAGTGACTGTTTGCACAGCCGTGTCGCGAACACAATTTCTCTCTTTAATCACGTCCTCGCAACACCTCGTGCATGCGCTGCTCGAATCCCGCAAGCACGTGTAGCACTCTCTGGACCGTCGCTCGACCGAATCGCACAGCATTCCCCAAAGCCATCGCGACACGACACGCAGCGCATTGGCGGGGCCGACCAGGCCAGAAATTCCTTTTCAACACTTTCTCGCACCACCGACACACATACGTCCCCTGGACGCCTCCAAAGATGGCGTTATCGAATGGGAATCATCGCCAAGTGGCAGATCTCAGCCAAATCACCTCTAAATTGCAGGCATTGGGCATCTCGGAGCTACCAAAGCCAGAAGGCGTACTGCTGCACCCACAGCGCAACCCCGTCGATATATACCGAGCAGTGATTGTCGACCAGCTGCAAAAGATCACAGGAGCTGCTCCGGAGATTATCAAGAATGCAGTGGCATGGACACAGGACCTCAAGCATGGCGACTTGGTGTTGCCTGTGCCTGCATTGCGCTTGAAGGGCAAGAAACCCGACGAGCTGGCTGCTGAGATCGCCGAGAAGTTTGACTCGCCTCTCATCGAGAAGCCAACGGTCGAGAAGACGAGCGTGAAGTTTTTCTTCAAACCAGAACCGCTTGCCAAATTTGTCATTCCTGCGATCCATCAGCAAAAGGGCAACTACGGCTTCAACCCTACCTTGGGGCTCGAAGACCCCTCCAACCCAGAAAGTCGACACAAGAAAATCATCGTCGAATATTCGAGTCCGAACGTGGCTAAAGAGTTCCACACGGGGCACTTGAGGAGTACAATCATTGGTGGTTTCCTCATCAAAATGTTTGAGCGCGCAGGGTGGGAGGCCGTGTCAATGAACTATCTCGGTGACTGGGGCAAGCAATATGGAATTCTGTCAGAAGGTTTCGAGAAATACGGAAATGAGGAAGAGCTGCTCAAAGACCCGGTGAAGCATCTGAATTCAGTATATGTCAAGATCAACCAGGATAATTCGGAAGAACAAAAGCCAGCGAAGATATTGACGGAAAAGAAGACGGAGTTGGAGAACCTCAAGAATCCTCCCAAACCAAAGAAGCCTGCGAAAGGGAAGGAGGCTGAAGCACCTGCCCCACCGAAGTGGACTGAGGAGCAAGAGCAGGAGTTACAGAAGGTGACAGCCGAGCTTGAGAAGGTGCAACAGGAGCTCGTGGACAAGCCCAGCATCGACGAGAGGGCTCGTCGCTTCTTCAAGCGCATGGTCGATGGCGACCCAGACGCGTTGAGGAATTGGCAGAAATTCCGCGACGAATCGATCAAGGCGTACGAAGGCATGTACTCCCGATTAAACATCAAATTCGACGACTACAGCGGTGAATCAACAGTCAAGGTTGAGGACATGGAGAAAGTGGCCCAAATTCTGGCGGAGAAAAACATCAGCGAGGACAGCAAAGGTGCTGTGATTGTTGACCTGACAAAACACGGCGCTCCAACTCTCGGCAAGACACTCGTCAAGAAGAGGGACGGAACATCTTTGTACCTCACTCGTGACTTGGCTGCCAATCTGGAGCGTTACGAGAAGTACCACTTCGATCACATGATTTATGTGATCGCATCGCAACAAGATGTCCACGTCAAGCAGATGTTTACTATCCTGAAACTGATGGGTCCACCTTACAGCGATGTTGTCGCCAAGTGTAGCAACATCAGCTTCGGTATGGTCAAGGATCCCAAAGGGCAGACTATGTCAACACGAAAAGGCACTGTCATCTCGCTCGCCGACAGTCTCGACGCCGCAAAAGACTTCATGCACGACGTGATGCGCCGCAACGTGGAGAAGTACAAGCAGGTTGAAGACCCCGAGGCCACTGCCGATACCCTGGCCATTTCCGCCATCATGGTTCAGGACTACAGTGGAAAGATGGTCAATGGATACAACTTCGATCTGGAGAAGATGTGCAGTTTCGAAGGCGACACTGGTCCATATCTGCAATACTCTCACGCCCGTCTATGTTCGATCAAGAGGAAGGCAGAAGTCTCAGAAGAAGAGATGCTGAAGGCCGATCTCAGCCTGATCACGGCCAAGGAAGGCGTATCACTGATCCGCTCTCTCGCACAATGGCCTGATGTGTTCCTCAACACGTACAAGACTCAAGAGCCTGTGACCGTGCTCACGTATCTTTTCAAGATGACACATTTGCTCAGTTCTTGCTACGATGCTGTTGACCGCAGCAACAAGAATGCGAAGACGCTGAGTGTCATGTACGCAGAAAGCCCGGAGAAGAAGATTGCTCTGATGGCGATGTACGAGGCCGCGAGGATTGTGTTGAACAACGGTATGCAATTGTTGGGTTTGAGTCCAGTGCAGAGGATGTAGTCGCGAAGCACAAAGCGAATGATAGATGGAGTGATGACAGCATGCTCAACAGAAGAGGTCGTACCTAGAGTCGGTTAAGGGACTGGGATATCACTGCTGCCGGGGGAAACGTGTAGGAGAGCTCTGGCCTGGCCGAAGATACAGCGTCTCTGCCATTGTGCTGATGATTGCTTACTGCCCTTCTACCAACCATGCCGAGACCGACGAGCGAACAGCTCAGCTTCCAGGCAAGTCGGATAGCATGGAGAAGCAGCGAGTTCGAAAGCCACGTCCAGCGCGAAACATTGGAGAAGAGATAGACGAACGAAATGACGCGGACGAAATGAGAAATTCAAAAATGTATTCAAGCAATACTGCTTCCACTAGGTTTTCTTTTTTCGGGTGCTTGCTTCGCCATGCTCGCTACTGATGCGGTGCCCAGTTATGCAGTGCCATCAATAATGTACAAAAACATATCCTCTACTCCATCATTCACGACTCCGGAAGCCAATCCCCCAAACAAAACGGAACAGAACTCGGAATCTCATGTTCCTCAAGAATATCCTCGTGCTCCACCGCCAGCTCAGCTTCTTCTTCCGCAAACATCGCCGGACCATCTTCTTGCCACCAGCCTGCGTAGTAAATACTTGCAAGGGCATTAGAATTGTTGAAACTCTGCTTTTCCTGGTTCCAAGCCCACTTCTGGTGAGCTTTGGACCGGGCAGCATGGTATTCGGCCCAGGCATTTGCGATGGGACGGGGTGCGTGGACGAGTTCGCCTCTGCCGAGGTTTTGCTTTTGTTTGCCGCTTGGTGTGATCCAGAGGTTGTCGCGGAGTTTGAGCGAAGTGGATTCTGGTTCTTCTGACTCTGAGTCTGAGTCTGAGTCTTCAGAATCTTCTTCGTCGTCGTGTTCTGATTCGCAGGTGGCGTTTTGCGATGACTGAGGTTCAGCTTCTGAAGGCTCGTCATCGTGGGCGTCTTGTTCAGATTGAGACTCAGCGGCTGGCTGCTTTGCTGAGGTCCAAACCCATTCGTCGTCCGATGCATCTGCTGTTTCTATGACTTCGTCGTCTGAACCTTCACCATCCCTGTATTTGTTCGGTCTTGGCACCCAGTGGTAACAGCCATCTGCTCGTGGTTCCCATCGGTTGAAGCCTTTGCCGCGCCTGCCTGCCTTCTTTCGAAACATCGGGTTGTTCCACGGACTCTTGGTGGGTTGCATGCTCACCTCCTCGCTCCCCTCGCCTTGGAAGAGGACAGTGGGTTGGAGTATAGCATCTTTGGCTTCGTCGATCTTGATGAAGAGTTGAGTGTGAAGTTGTTTCTGCTTCTCGTCCGTACACTTGTCTGGATGCAGAAGTAGCGCCAGTTTGCGGTAGGCGATTGTAACATCTCGCTCAGTACTTTCGGGTTGAATGCCAAGAATGGCGTATGGACTCCGGTTGCGTTTTACTTGTGAGATGACCTGACGGAGAGAAGGCTGTTGCACGCTCGTATCGGATGTCTTCGCAGAGTTGGATGCCATGGTGTTAGCACTCATATTGTGTCTTGGCTATGGAAGGAAAGCAGCCTGCTGCTTCCTTCTGGTGTTCTGTGGGAGAGCTGGTGGGACGGTAGTGCGTGTACTTCGTCAGGAATCTTTGGCGGTTGAGGAAGAGTCGGTGGGTTGTAGTGTCTGGCTATGAGTCGCGGAGCTGGAAGGCTCAGTGAGAAATATATATCCAAAGTCGAACAAGTGCATTCACTGCTACTCAGAGACAAAGGCTTTCACCCTTCACAGACAAAGCCTTTGTAGTGTGTGTCATGTTCGATTTGTCGTCCAATAGGCTGCCGTTACACTGCGCGAGCACTATACAATCTTCTTGTTCCTTGAGAACCTACCTGGAATAGTGCAAGATGGGAAAAGGCCTCCATTCCCGCACCTATGACGACTTGCAGTCGACAACGGGAAAGAGAGCCAGAGGGTGGGATGGATGCTGCAGATTGTTCGCTGCGAAGATGAAGGAGACGTAGGAGCGATAGAAATAGCGACGGCGCTTCAGCAGCAGACATAATACGAAGGAGACTCACTAGTCTTGTATGCTGTCTCGCCAATTCGCGAGCCCTCCATGCTGTGAATAGTGCAGGGCTTTGCCACGATCTTCCATGGACATGGTGCATACTGCTTTGTGAACGGGCCAGTCCCTCTGCTGACAGGTTGCACTACAGTATGCAGCCGTGCCACATCGGCCGCAGCGATTCAGAGGTTTGCTACTTTCGGCGGCTGCTTTGCATGTCGAGCACTTTGACAAGTCGAGGCTCTCGTACAACCAGCGAGGGTTCATGCGCATTCCATCTTCCCAAGGATCCATGCCGATATGAGGCGACTCGACGAAGAACTCATGCCGCATTTTCTTGCCGGTAAGCCATCGGCGGTGCAAGATCATGTCTTTCACGAATGAGACACCTAATCGATGGACTTCAGCTGCATCCTCGACGTTCTTGTCGTCGACCATGGTCTCCTCGATGTTCGGCTGCCATGGGTCTCCCGTTGATTCATGTTCCGTAGAGGTCATGTTGTAAGTTACCATGACTCTCCACAGCCCTTCTTTGTCCAGAGTTCCCATGGTGACCTGCTGGCGAATGCGCCCAATTTCGAACTTGGTCTCATTGTCCTCGCCTTGGTTGATGGTCAACGTCCAGGTAAAGGAGAACCAATTGTCGGTGTCTAGTAATGCCAACAGTGCTTCTGGACACCAATTGTAAAGCACTGTTGCGACTCCAATTGCAGGCGTCAAGGCTGAAGAATCGCATTCTGCATTGAATGTCTTTTCATCGACAATGCTCAGTGGCTGGCCATCCAGGCGGAGCGCTTTGTCCGGGCGCCCAGGGATCGCGAAATCATGCAATTGCAGAAGCGTTGCCATCTCTTCGCCGTGACCAAGTTTCCATGGTGCGTACCTCCTAGCATGGCAATGTCGGAAGTGCATTTCACGAGCGCGACGCGAAAATAGCGAGTCTTGGCGGCGTTGCTGGGCGACCGGGGTGGGTGCGTCATGGTAAACAGTCTGCGACGGAGCGGAGTTGGAGATGGCTGGGCGGTGGCAGGAAGACGCCGCACATCAGCACACCGGCACAGCACACTTCGACAACTCTCATCGGAAAGTCACTCGCACTCATTCTCCATCATCACTACGACGCACACACTGAATATCGCATAGTGCTCGCTCGGACATCATCGCCGACAATACACCTCCGACTGCGACACCCCACATTCCGCTGAGGCTCCGGGCCTACAGCTTCTCGACAACATGGCACCCGTGGACGGCTTCGTGGCCATTGCTCGTGCAGTCAAGAGCGAAGACGCTGCCCCGGACTTGCTTCTATCATCCAATGAACTCGATCTCTTCAAGCGCGACGACTCTGCCCTTTCACCGATCGCCCAACATGACCTCCAGACACGAACTATCGCTCGACGGGAAGAAAGGGTGGTTCACGGCCAAGGAGCATCTCCGCCCGAGTCCTTCAACAATAAGGGCTTCTTCGCCCTCTTCGCACTCCTCGGTGCAGCAATGGTCATAGCTGCCATTTGGTTCTTCTTCTGGGCCAAAAACGGTGGCTTCCAATTCCAAGAGGGCGACTGGGACGACTACAAATCTACTGTGCTGCGGAGAAAAGGACCTGACGGCAAGACACTGAGTAATGCGACCAAATCTACGAAACTCGGCGGCAGATCTATTGCAGGCACACAGCACTACGCTTGGGCGAAGTCACAGGCACGATCTGTCGTCAGCAGAGATGAAAAAGGCAGGAAGGGTATTCTAGCAAAGCGAGGATGGGGCGGAACACACTCTGTCACATACAGCGATGACTTTACCGACACTCTGGGCACTCGAACAGTCACCGATGGCATGACGGAAGTCATGACCGAGTACGACGGAGGCAGTGGACATCATTCCAAACGCTACCGGGACCGTGACATTAAGCAGTACAAGAAGGAAAAGCCAGCACGTGTTGGAGGCATGAACAGAGTGGCAGATAGCACCGCCTACACCGAAACCGATCGCTCCGACATCATGACCGAGACTGTTCTTACAGAATCTTCCGACCAGCCAATGATCCCAAAGACCCAAGAACAAAAGGACAAAGCCCGTGCTGAGCGCAGAGCTCGCCACGAAGCTGCAAAAATGGAGCGTCGCTGGAAGCGCGAAGCAGAAGCAGCAGCAGCAGCTCTGAACCGCGAAGCAGCTCCACCAGCACCACCTTCACATGTCCGCAAATCTGCTTCACCATCCAAGCATGCTTCTTCCCGACACCACGCCCGTGACAGATCCGTTTCCCGTTCTGCTAGTCCCAGAAAGCGCGACTTCTCTTACGGTACTGGTCCGGAATCAGAGACCCTCAGCACAGCCTACACTGCCTCTGAATCCAACTCTCGAGGTACGAGGACCGCAAGCTACTACGACGAGTACCGCCCCCGCGCGAGCGACAATCCAAGATACTCCTCCGAGTTCGGTACCAGGACAGAGAGAAGTCGTACCCGACAGAGCTCACCTCGCAAGAAAGAAACGCGGAAGGGCGGTTACAGGCGTGGTGGACAGGACAGCGACTTGGATTAAACGTCGCACACAAGAGCTGTCTACATGTCAGCTGCAGTAGTGCTTGTCACAAGTGTACCTGCACGAGGGCGCAGACTGTTGTGCACTTTTGAAACATGCGCAAGGGCGACGAAATACTCCACGCCACGTTTGATCGTCACAAAGCGCTGACAAACTACGAGTCCGTGAGACTGTCAGCACTAAAGGTGTTGGAAACTACACCCTGCTTGTCCCCATGGGGTGAGATTTGACGAAACTCTCATCCTTGGCAGCGGATCGCTAGGATTCGGAACATGAACACAAGAAAACAAAAATTACTGCAAGACGCAGACTAGCCACGATAATGTCCTCGGTCGTGTGCTATGGGACAACAAAAAGTATGAACTCATTATTGGGCAGCTCTGCATGATCACCTTTTCCTCGGCCCGAAGTCTGCAGGACGGAAAGCTGCACGCACGTAGAAGAATTTTCTGGAAAATGGAGCAAAGAGATCGTCCTTTTCTTTTGGGCGTTAGCGGTCTTAGGCATTAGAAGGCGTTTGGGCTGGGATGCGCAAAATTTGGCGCGAACGATGGGGATGTTTTGTGTATGATGGGATGGGGCTAGTTTGAATGTGCCGATGGCAAGCGAGCACTGCACAGCGGGTTATGAGTGGGGTTAATAGTGTGTAGCCAAGCAGATACATGGCAATAGCAATGATGAAATGGAATGGAATGAAATGTGAAAGAATGATCACTACGAGGATCGGCAAAGGTATTTCTTGCTTCCCAATCGCAAAAGGAATGGGCGAATGCGTGTGTCGTTTCCCAATTTGTACTTCCTAGCTACTGATGATTGATGTCGGTCTTTTTGTTGCCTTGGGGCTCGTGCTTTGTGCGTGCTTTGTGTCTGTGCTCGTCCGTTGCGCCATGACTCTCGTACAATCTCATCGTCTGCCATTACATTCCCGCCTGTTCTCGTGCTGAAAGGAGCAAAAGCGAGAAGGATAAGAAGGAACAATTTGATGCTCAAGCATAACGCGAGCCATACCAATCCCTCCTCTTACAGAACCGTGCAAACATGCATATCAGAAGAAACGCTCATAAAAATAATTTGGGGGGTATCGCTAACATGGGCCAAATAAACACCGGTAAGAGAGTCATCCCAGATGACCATCAACGGGAAGTCCCTCTCGCTTCCCTCCTCTTTTCTGTTGCGAGGGCCGCTGCTCCACCAATTTCGGTGCCCCTTTCTCTCTCTCTGGTTGCGAAACAAAACTGCAACAATAGCAGCCCCTGAATAGCCCTTCGTGCAAACAAACAAACGTACTTTTTGACTTTTGGTCGCTCCCAGTGCTTCCAATCTGCCGCCCAGCGGTCGTGGAGCTGGAGTCGATGGTAAAAGGATGTCAAGGAGTAAGCATGTGAGGCCGCCGGGTATCCAGTACAAGAAGATGAAGAAATGCGCTGCTTGGAAGGAAGCGCCATGCTAGCTAAGAAATCGCTGAATCGCCAGGAAACGCTCAAAGGAGATGCTGGAAAATGCTGAAGGATGTTGGAAGATGTCGGAAGATCGAAGGTGAAGGTTTGAGGTGTGATGGTCGTGCGACCAAAATCGTCAAAGGTTGTGTAAATCTCGTAGAGTCGTTGCTGCGTTGACCTTTAGGCCGATGATAGCATCAGTTGATGCATCCTCTTGAGGAGGGATGTCCATATTCGTTGATCATGAGTTGGTGCGTGTTTCATCAGTAGTCTTTCTCGTATCCGCCCTCGTCGTGTAGAGTCCGGCTGCGGGATGTCCGTGGTCGACCGACGCGGCTTCCGCTGGATTTGCTGCCGTTGTATGAAGTCTCGCGACCACCTGATCCGATGACAACACGAGTACCACCGTCGTCGGCGGCCTTGAGAGCGATCTCTTGTATGCCCTCTTCGAGGTACAGAACGGTCCCGTTGCTCTCTATCATCAATCCACCGCCTCGAGAGAGCTTCGACCCCGAAGTGGTGCTCTTGTGGCTACGACCAGAAACATGAGACATAGTGGACCTGCGGTTCGCTTGCTTGATATCGGCCGCTGTGAAGGCTTGCCGCTCGATGCCAGCTGACATGTCTTTCTGGTACCTCTCGATGCGTTCTTGCTGCAAGATCGAATCCTCCAGACGGTCGCGATGTCCTTCACGGCGTTCTTCGCGTTCGCGTTGTAAGGTGAGAGCATCGACTTCCTCCTTTGAAAGGTACACTCGTCGACGGCCGTACTTGTCTTCCACAATGGCCTGAGCATAGGCAGTACCGCTTGATAGCGAGGTCGGTGGCGTATCGTAGGATGATGCCACTGAAGGTCTCCTGCTGTGTCTGTCCACTGCATTGCGTCGCTCAGTGTGTCTGCGATCACCCACGGCAGCTTTGGAGGTCGTGCCCGAATCATAATGCTCGGATGACGACAGGTACTGATCGTTCGGGTCTGATCTTGGCCTGTACGCAAGATCTGGTCGGGACGCCGATGGCCGGTGGCTTCCCCTTCTCGTTGGTAATTCAGATGTCGTGTGGTACTTCTTTGTGGTCGGCCTGCGTGGGTCTTCAACAACGACATTAGATTCGCGCCGCCGTGATTTCGATCGTGCAGGCTCATAGCTGATGCGCTTTGCATCGCGGGTCCGATATTGCTCGTACCGACGCTCGTCTTCATAGCTGTCATCATCGGAGCTCTCGGATTCCGATGATGTGTAATCATCACCGCGACTCCGTCTGTTGTTAGTAACAGCTGGTGGTAGAGCGCGACGCTCGCCACGAGCCGAGGTGCCCATCGAGACATTGTAAGCTGGGGCTGGCGGTGGCATCGTGATCGAATTGGCCAGTCCGGGAACGGCTGGGTTGCCAGTGCGGGCGGAGTACTTGGCCGTCGTATGTCCTGGGAAGCCAGGGTATGTGCCGGTGAGAGGGGAAGACGGTGTTGGTTGTACTGCTGGCGCTGTTGATGGCGGCGGATACATCGCGGACTGATGCGTAGGAGTTGATCCATACCCTGTGTGGGCTTGTCCATATGACCCTTGGGGATAGCCATAGTATGCAGAAACTGACGGTGGTTGTCCAGACTGAGCCGATGTGTAAGGAATTGACACGCCAGCTGGTGCGTGGATGCTCTGCGGCCTCGGTCGACTGATGGACTCTGCACGTGGCCGAGATATTGCTGATGGCGGCGGCATCTTAGCATAGTCATACTGCTGCTGATATGTATAATTCGTGGCTGGTGGCGGCATGGACATGCGATTTGGGTTTGTATACCGGCGTTCCGGGTTGCGTTTGCTCTCGCACTCTGGATGTTGGCACTTTGAGTCACGACAGTCCTTCAGCTTTGCAGTCGTGTTGGAAACAGTGGCGCTTCTGGTGGTGCTCCGTGCACTGTCCGCTCGATGAATGATGGGCTTCCCCTTTGCGGGACTTGCAGTAGATGCCTTCTGGTGCGACGTGTTTGTCGCCGATTGGGACGCCGTGTTGGGCGCCGCAGCAGTAGCACTCTTGGGGCCTGCTGCGGCTGCTGGGGTCGATGAGTAGCCAGAATCACTTGCAGATTTCGAGGGAACGGCCGTCCGACTTGATTGCTCTCCCTGTCGCGGCGCCTTGGAGGAGGAGCGGTCCAGCGGGCGGCGCTTGCTGGCCTTCGCCGAGACTTCCGTGCCAGAAACGATGCGACTCTCGTCGCTGTCGTAGTCGGCGACCTCGGCCGGCTTTGCGCGAGGAGACATGACAGTGATGCCTGATTCGCGGTCAGGCTGCGTTTGGGGATCGAGTGTTGTTGCGCTTCTGGGCCCGGGCGACGGCGGGGACGGCAGCGTCCGCGCAAGCGAGGCTGATCAGACGTGTTGACCGCTTCGTGGTGCTGGTGCTGGTGGGCGAAGCTACCGGGGCAGCGTGGTGAATGCGCGGTGTGGTTGTGGGTGCATTGTTGAATGTCTCGGGTAGGGTCTGAGCATTGTGGTGGAAAACGACGTCAAAAGGGCAGGCCGCAGGAAGGTGAGTGTTTGCGCGCGCCACTAGAGACGATTTGGCTGCTGCGAGAGCTCACCGGTCTCTGCACGCCGACGCAGGCAGGCAGGCAGGCAGGCAGGCAGGCAGGCAGGTCGACAGAGCAGGAGCTACCTGGTCGTGCTGCACAGCGGCGAGCGACAGCTTCTTGAGCGCAGCGGATGCCGAGCGCAGAAATGCGTCAAGTCGCGATGGAAATAGTCGTCAGCCTTGTCGTCGGGCTCTGAGACACAGCGTGGCAGCCCAATGTGCGCTGGGATTCGTGCGAGGGTTCTGCGCCCAGCTGCTCGCGCTTCTAGTTAGCGGCCGGCGTCAATCGCCTCCCTCTCACAGTACAGTAGTCGACGACGCAAGTGGTCGGTACCCGTCCGTTGTAGCGCTGCAGGTGAATGGTGCGCCGGGAGCTGCAGATGAGCTGCACCAGGGAGACGAGTCGGTTAGCAAGCTTTTTTCACCTCCCCTCGGCCGCACGAAACGAAACTGCAGTGGCACGACGGACACTCTGCCTGTGCTGCACTGCTCGAGCGACAACGACGCAATACAGGATGTATCGATCACAGCGACCACGGCACGGGTGAAGTAGATATATGTACCAGACAGACGACGCTCGGGCTATTCGCGTTATGTCCCGAGCGACGGCCGTGCGTGGTGGAGGTGGAGCCAGCACGCTGATGCGCTGGATCGTGGAGCGAGCGCAGCCAGTGCCGCTGCTCGTACGGTCGATACACAACTGGGATCCCATCTGTTCCCGCGTGGCAACAGAACTCTGCGCGAACTGCTCTCCCACCACTGCTGCTGCTGCTGCTGCTGCTGACTCCCTTGGTGCCTCCAGACCCCACTGCCGTTGCGCGCAGACGACTTGTCATGCCGCCGTCACTGCCCCAAACGACCACGGGGAGCGTGCGCATCGATTGCTTTTCCATTCATGCGCCCTGCTGCTGCTCATCATGCACTCAATCGAGAGATGGAAGAACTCGGAGGACTGACGGCAACGCGCGTCGTTCTCACCTCTGCGCACGCCGTCCACCTTCCGACTGCAATACTTTGCCCGAGTAGCGGTGAAAACATGCCACCAATCACTTCGACCATGGCGTTCACATGTGCATTGCATGCAGCCGGAGACCCTTCGCGACCCTCATACTCCATCCGCCATCACTCTCCGGCAGACAATACTGCGTGGAGTCAACAGCTCCTCACTCTCGTGCCGGATAACGACAGAATGCAACCTGCCATACCAGCGCCTTTGTCGTGTCAAGAGGTGCCACTGAGGTCAGCCACCGCCTACGCATCGCATTGGTAGTCGGAGCGAGGTCGAGATAGGCTCTCATGATTCCACGTAGGTGGCCACATGTCGTGTAACAGACCACTAATCCAGCGCCCCGTTCGCGAGGAAGAGTACCTCCGTACGACAAGCAGATTCCCATTCCCACGTCACACAAGTAAATGAGAACGAGCATCTGCGAATATTCAACAAGACACTAGTCGCGACACGAGACGCGGTTCCAGTGAGCCGACCGAGAGTTGCCAGCGGATTAGAACCCTCGGGCAGGAATACTTCGCGAAGGGTGTGAAGGTGTCTGGCTGCAGAACATTGCTCCGTGCAGCGAGCTCGGCCGCCGTGTACCGAATCGTGGTCCATCGACTCGTAGAACGCAGGGACGTACCTCAGCGACTTGTAAAAGCTCGGTATAGGTTCATCCCGCTGTCATCGATATTGTTGGGCCCAGCACGACTGTCAGCGTCGTGTCGCGAATGTTCTGAGTGATAGCTTACAGCTCTGGAGTATTCAATCTGTACGGCCGACTCGGGGCTGGGAGCGAAGTTTACCCAGCGTAAACTACACATCAGGCAGTCCATAAGATCGGTGCCCAAAGAAGCCGACCCTCAACCTTCGCTCGAACCATGACGGGCCCGCGTTGCACGATCATTGTCTGCAATCGCATCCTGAGGTCATCCAAAATGAGTACCTGCCTCAATCGCTCGCCCGTAGGAGCGAATACCTACGCGTGCGGCACCCGCCATTTCGCAAATGTTTGGCAAGCTCTGTAAGTTGATTGCTACCTTCCTGCCCTTCAGCTTTCAAGTCTCGAACTCGTTTCGCTCTCTCACTCTTTGCACGCAAGTAGCTTGGTCGTTCAGAAACGGACATAGAAAATGGAATCATCACCTGTCGTTGTGAACCTCACACATTCAGTCAAAGGCACCAAGTTGCCTTTGCGATAGACTATGTGGCAAGAGAATGCTGTGGCGACGGACTTGAATTGTGAATAGGATCCGCATGTGAATCTGGCGTGGTCGACTGCGTGTAGAACTTTTGGGGAAGTTCGTTGAAGCAGCCAAGGCAGCAGAAAGCGTGCATGTGCGATTGTGCACACCCCTGCTTCTCCGCAATCGCGGGCCGCCTGCCGATCATCAAGCGTGAAGTGAATCTCAAAAGTCCAGCTCGTTGCTTTCCAATCTCACAACAACGCGCCAGCGCGATGGCCGATCCATTCGAAGTGCGCATGCGCTTCACCTCACAATTGCAACATCTCTCCGCCTCGTCATCATCAGCTACGAAAGCTGCCAACTATGCTCTCCGACACAGCGAATATGCCGACGACCTGCACTCATGCATTCTCGAACAGCTCGAACGCAACAACATGAACCTCCGCGCGAACATCATGTATTTCCTGCCGGCCCTGTGCGATGCAGCCAAGACTGGTCTTGCCAATGGCGGTCTTGCGTCTGAGGCGGGAGTGTACGTGCGAATGGTGGAGCGGGACATTCTCAGGATCATCGATCTCGTGGCACCAGATGATGGGAGCGGCGCAGCGAACGTCAAAGTGGTCAGGAAGGTGCTGCAAGCTTTGATGGGCAGGGGCGTGCTACAGAGCCAGACCGTGCGCGAACTGGAGGAGCTTATGCAAGGACGAGACAACCTGCCAGGCGCGTCGAGTCCCGTCCACGAGAGTCAGCATTCTACACATCACCACACACCTCAGGGCCAGGCCGCAGTCAGAGGCACACCGCAAAATGCAGGACATCATGGCTATGGGAGCGGTGCGATTCGACTGGACAAGAGGCAGATCGAGCAGCGCATTGAAGAGGATCGGGAGAGGCACAAGAGGGCCAGAGAGGGGATATGGGCTATACCGCAACAGAGAGGAGGATCTCTAGCAGAGGATGCAGAGTTCGATAAAGTGTGGGAGAACGGCAGCGATGTCGACAGCGACGACTATCGTATGGCCGAGGAAGAGGCCGAGGAGAGGAGAAAGCACTTGGAGTACGATGACTATTGAGAAGGCGGACATCTGAGAGAACAACCCATCTTCATTGACTATTAGCATGGCGCTGGAGGTGTTTGCACAAGAGCTGAGCTAGGGAGCAGCTGAGTACCTGGGCGCAATGACTGGAATCGAGCTTTTTGAGTCCTAGCATTCATGTTATGGCCAACAACTGGTCATGAACGCACAATCTTCACACGATGTTGCGTTCCATTGCGGATCCTTGCGAGTGGTAGCCGATATCCGGATTTGCATCCACTTGATCGTCCGCCAAGAACTGCGACATAGCAGCGCAGCTGATGGACTGCGACCTTTCGGAGTCCAGCATTCCAAGTCACGAGCTTCACGAAAGACCAAGCACGGCAAGAACCAAGCAAGAAAGCCTGGACCCACGCAACCCACCATGGCAAGCCTCTACGGCCATCCCATTCCTCAACACGAAGCCGACCACGAATCGCAATTCTGGGGAGCTTGTCTCGAAGCCTTTCGACATCCCACAACATTACCGCGATTCTTCAGGGTAGTGTACCACGACACTAAAGCATACTACGCTGGACGAGACCTTGTAGATCTGGAACGAGAAGAACTTATTGAGAACCTTACCTGGATGCGGAAAGTCACAATCTCAGCTGCAGCGAGCGCGTCGATGTCTCTATTGTTCCTCATCGCGCAGTTGATTCTCTGCAGGATTGAGGTGCATGAGGCGAGGAAGGTGACTTGAATGTGCTTGGCGAGGGCGAGGACTTTTAGAGGGCATAGCTGTCAAGTTGCGAGTGGGTCGTGAATTCGAATGTGCTTTCCTTTTGCAATGCAGCTGGTGGCTGTCTGAGCAGCCTTGCGAAGTTCCAGCAAAGCCCGCTGGTAGAAATCAGAGGAGGCGATGAAGCACCATCGTGGCGCTGAATTGCATGTGCTCCACGACCACCGAACAGGGCATCTACTTCGAAGTCGGATCAGGTACTTAGCACCCATGGAAATGCACATTAGCAACGAATGACATGAATTTCTGGAGTCCTGGATGTTGCGAATAACTTCTGCATTCGCTCTGTTCAGAGAGCAAAGAGAGCATTTGCATAAACTAGACTTGTGTGTTCGAATAGCCTGCGATATCCGACGTGACGTTTTCGCGTCGTCACTGACAAGGAGTTGAACAACTTCACCTTGAAGGTTCTTTCCTCCAGTTGTTTTCATCTCTTCCACCTTTTTCACCTTCGACATGCATGTTTCAGTGAAACATTGTTTCAACAACGGTTGACATGTATTCTCTCAAGACAGCAATTAGGTTTCGGCAAGTGTCCCGGTTGCACCCAAGTCGCGGTACCAGTTCTCCAAGTCAAGACATATGGCCACTGCGCAGGCGGACTTGACTCCTCGTCTGGATCGAAGAGAAGCACTTTCATCGAAGACCCGCGGTTGCTCCTGTGCTCGAAGGAGATCTCGCGAGATTCCAAGCACTTTACGATAAGCCACTGAAGACGCCACGCCAGGCCTATCATCGGACATGAAGGCCTGAAGTCGAAGTAGTCCTGGTCACTCTGGATTCAATGTCTTTTGAGTCCAACTACTCGTGGCCCTTGTGATGATCTCGCTGGGCATCACTCTTTTCACAGGACGCTGCAAAAATTTGGAGCAACAGTCGATGCAATGTGGCGAAGGCCTGTGAATGGTCACCGAGCATCGGACCCGACTCCTGTCATCGGATGAGGCTCGATCACTTCGCCGCATCCTAACCGGATCAGTAGCTAGGCCAGCGACAGAGCCGCACTACTGCAAACTTTGCCTGCTGAGGCGTGCTATGATCCTCACTGACGTCTACAGCTTCTCTTCACGGCAGCAGACTCGCAGCAGAGTCGCTCAAAAGAGCCAATGGCATCCATGTCTTACTACAACCCGATCTCCGTGCTACGGCAACGTGGTTGCACAGGCTCTATACGTCCAATAATGACGGCGAGAGTAAGCAAGAAAGCGTCATTCATCAGTGATCGCAGGACTCCCGCACAGGTACATATGGAGCCAAGCGAGCTGTTAGATAGTGCAGCAAACTGTTCCGTGTCGGAGGCCTGACGTAACGAGGAAAGGAAGAAGCAAGGTCCCTTATAATATCCCCGCCACTCAGTCTTCATCATGCACGCCAACAAACTACAACACGATACCAACAATATGGCTCCATCAGCAACCAACGGCGCTCCAGACGGTAGTGTGAAGGGCGATCTGTATCGCGACTACTCCGATGACAGGAACGCGTCCTCCGAAGACACAGTTTACTGCACGTCAAATGGCGTGCCTGTGGCTCATCCATACGAGACCCAACGCGTGGGCGAAAATGGACCTCTGCTGCTGCAGGATTTCCATCTGATCGACCTTTTGTCACACTTCGACCGCGAGCGAATTCCTGAGCGTGTTGTTCACGCTAAGGGTGGTGGTGCACATGGCTACTACAAGACAACCGACTCCATGGAGGATCTCTGCGAGGCCGATATCTTCAAGGCTGGCAAGCAGTGCCCGATCACCGTCCGATTCTCAACAGTTGGAGGAGAGTCGGGTTCGCACGACTGTGCTCGTGATCCCAGAGGTTTCTCTGTCAAGTTCCGCACAGAAGAGGGTAACTGGGACATGGTGGCAAACAACACTCCCGTGTTCTTCTTGCGAGATCCAGCGAAGTTCCCACACTTCATTCACACACAGAAGCGTGATCCAGCTTCACACTTGACCCATGCGGACGATTCGACGATGTTCTGGGACTACCTCTCACAGAATCCTGAATCAGTGCACCAAGTCATGATCTTGATGGGTGATCGTGGTATTCCCGATGGTTGGCGAAAGATGCATGGATATGCTGGCCACACCATGAAACTGGTGAACAAGAATGGCGACTGGGTGTATGGACAGATGCATATGAAGTCTAAGCAAGGAACATCTTTCATCACACAAGCAGACTCTGCCAATTACTCGCCAGACTATGCTCAGCAAGACATGTTCAATGCTATCGAGAAGGGCGACTTCCCAGGCTGGGATGTCTGCTGGCAGACTATGACCCCGAAGGAAGCCGAGGATCTCTGGGAGACTGACAAGATCAACGTTTTCGACCTTACGCATGTGTGGCCGCAGAAGAGGTTTCCTCTTCGCAAGGTCGGAGAGTTCTACTTGAACGAGAATGTCAAGAACTACTTTGCCGAGATCGAGCAGGTTGCCTTCAACCCAGCACACATGCCACCTGGAATTGAGCCAAGTGCAGACCCAGTCCTGCAGTCACGATTGTTCTCGTACCCAGACACACACCGTCACCGCATTGGCGTCAACTACCAACAACTGCCAGTCAACGCACCTCGAGTGCCATACAGAATGTCTAACTTCCAACGAGACGGTGCGATGGCATTCAACAACCAGGGCTCACGACCAGCCTACTTGAGCTCTATTCAACCCGTGGGCCTTCGTGAGCGTCCTGTCAACCTTGACAAGACCCACGGCCACTTCACCGGCAATGCGGTTACCTTCTTGTCAGAGATCCGACCTGAAGACTTCAATGCACCACGTGCCTTGTGGGAAAATGTGTTCGACGATGATGCGAAGTCCCGATTCATCGAGAACGTCTCTGGCCACATGGGCAACTGCCACAAGGAAGAGATCATCAAGCGCCAGATTGCCATCTTCCGGGAAGTCTCCGAGGACTTGGCCAGCCGGCTTGAGAAGGCCACTGGCGTGAAGGGTTACGCTGGCATTGCTGGACTTCAATTCCAAGGAAGTCACAATGGAATGGCTTCTGATAAGAAGAATGCGACTGCTAATGGAATGGGCGAAGATGCGGCAGTGTCGAAGGGTAACAACGGTGGACCTGTGAAGGGTACTCACCACAAGATCTGCTAAGTTATTTGCACATAAACTGGCTATTGTATGTACTACTTGACGAATTACGAGCTAGATGAGATCAATGAAGCTGTGCTTCTTTATGCACATAGCCTGTCCTGTCACACGGAGCTCAGTCCGCTTACCAACTCACTTCTGTGACCCGTCATTTCCGACTTCTTCACACCTCTCGCTTGCACGCTTGTGCCATGCACAACGCAGGACATCCTCGGCCCACGCAGCCGAATATCGTGATAATGCAAATTCCTGATTTGGACCACCGGTCTACCTCAATTTGCGTCCCGCGCAACATGGCGCAACATGGCGCAACGCCACAGTCAGCCAAACCTGAACGTCGATTCTCGGCATGGACTGTTCTCGCTTGTTCTCGCACCGCATCGCCAAGACTGTCGTTCCTGGCCACGGAAAGCTTTCAGCTCGTCTTGTGCGAGCTTCTTTCCTTCGCTTCATGATGATCTCTGAAAGTTATGGGAGAAGATCTGCGGAATGGAATCTGCGTCGACTGCCGCAAAATCTATTTCTAAGCCTGAAGCTAGTCCGACAAATACTTGGCTGTTCGTTGAGGATGGGACGAAACCGGGACCGGCGAGGAGTAAGCAGTCTCGTGCTCACGTTGCACGAGTCAATCGTCAGCGACAGAAACTGAAGGCTCAGGCTCTCAATGCTGCGAAAGCCGGCAGCATACAATCTGGAAGCTCATCACTACAATCACAAACTGGTACACATGCCCTTCCACTTCGATACCGGACGAACCTCCAAGCTGGCAGCGCTGCGGATGAAGAGGTCACACGAGCCCTCATAGAACGAGAGCGACAGACTCTCATCGCCCGACACCCGAAGCCAAGACCTACGATACCCAGGACCATCCAACCAGTCTTCGGTGGTGCTGTCATTGACTCTTTCCCGCAGCAACAATCAGTCGAGGCAGCCGAACTCGCTCAATTCTGCTTCGAAAGCGTCTTCGGTGCATGGTTGACTCTACCACAAAAACACATCTGGGTCGCAGCTTTTTTTCGGCATCCGCTTGTGTACCACAGCTTGAGTTTCTCATGCGGCATCATACAAGACTTTCATTTGCGCAGACCTATCCAGCATAACCGGCTTCTGCATCGAGGCCAGACTATTGGTCTCGTGAACGAAGCACTTGGCAATTTGGCAGATGTGGATATTGAGCCGGTTTTATTGGCAATTTCTACGCTATGGCGAATTGATATCGAGAATTTGGGTGTTGCGAAAGAAGTTCCGATGCTTTTTGCACCTCATGTACGGAATCTGAGTTGGGTTGATCTCTTTGGCAAGCTCGGAGGCGATTCGCGGCATGGGCAAGCACTGGCTCAACTGGTTCGACGAAAGAAAGGCCCCGAGCTGGGAACTTTTACGACTTTGCCGAGTTTAGAAGGAACATTGGCTCTGGCAGATCTGATCGACGGTAGCGGGAACGCTTCGAAACCAAGGTTTCCGAGCATTTGGTCATCGAAACAGTATATGGAAGCACTAAGTCCTGCACTGAAGCAACTGTCCGGCGATATCGAGGGCAAGTACTTCTACGAGCATATCAGTCATGGCCTCAATCACGAGCATTGTGCCGTGTATTATCGCTTGAGCTGTGTCGATAAGCTACTGGACGACTTTGCCCAGCCTGGTCGAGCTGTGAGCCGTGACGAAGCCTTCTTCATCGCTGAGCTCAGCAGTGCTGTACAACATGAACTGTTGTCTTTGCCGTCCTGGCGAGACTTAAATCCTGCTCAAGACAATTGCCGATCAGAAGTTGTGTTCGAATCAACTCGCATGGCTGGCATTTTGTACTCGAATTCGGTTGTGTTTCCCGTCAAAGCATCTGATCCATGGCTTGACCAGCTCTTGACCCAGATGCGAGTGGTATTCGAACAAGAGAACGCCATGCTAGGAGACCGCGATTGTGCCCCGATATTCGTCTGGGCACTGTTCATTGCATCGATGGCAGCATATTCGACTCCACATCGCGAGTTCTTTTCAGCCTTGCTGAGACGATTACTTCACAGATTCAATCTTCTCTCCTGGAAGTTGGTACATCCGATTCTGCGCGGCTTCCTCTGGCGAGATAGCGCCTGCTTACAGGGCGCAAGCACATTATGGAAGTATTTGGCAGTGGAGAGCGCAGAATCGACACCGACGAGACACAACTAAAGAAGCCAACGACACCTGAATTCTATCCCATGGGGTATCGATATCTACATTTAAGCGATCTGACAGATGCGTGTTGAACCTGCACCTTCTACGCCACAGTTCCTTTAGCCTTACACCAGCGCGATCAAGATCGTCAGGACCTGAGTGACTCGGGTTGTCAACTCCATCACTCTATTATCCGCTCCGGCCAATGGGAAACGCTGGTGAATTTTATCCGGATGAATTCTTGCGATTTCCAGCTTCAGCTGCTTGCGGATTTCAGATCTTTCGAAAGTTTCACCTCCAGGCATGTTTCTGTAGAAGTTGCTGACATCGTATTCGAAGTCACTGGAAAGCTCAGTTGCGTACTTCGCGCGCAACTCTTCGCCGAGCACTGGTCGTGGCAGCGCTGCGAATAAGTCTGCGCCTGCACAGTCATCATCCAGGCTGAGAAGGCTCATCCAGCCTTGCATGTATACTTTCCAGCTGGACTGAATCACTTCAAAGTCAGCGAGCGCTGGTAAGGATACAAAGCTTCCGCTCTGATCACGGTCCTGCTCAACGTGAGACCGGATCTCATCCTCAAGTCTCGCTTGGTCGCGAAGGCGTTGGCGCTCGACCTCATCAGGAGGAAGCTCGTCCTTGACATCGGCTGCGTATGTCTGCTGTCGTAGTCTGGTGTCGACATCCCACTTCGGTTGACGGACGTTCTTGAGAGATCTTTGATCAGAATTGAGCTCTTGTTCGCGCTGGATGGAGGTCTCCAGCTCAGACTTCCCGACTTCTACACACTCGGCATCGAACATCTCTTCCCCTGGTGATTTTACATGAGCATTGGATGCCAAGTTGGTGCCGCCAGTGTGCTGTTGGCGTTCGCCAGATCGGAAGACAATCGATGCGGACTTGGCACGCGCATGATTGCTGATCAAACGGCTCTCATCCATATGGACTTCCGGCTCACTTCGCGATCGTAGTCTCTTCGGACCCACTGGCGACGCTGAGCGGATCTTTTGGGGATCTATCCATAATGCGTCATGTACAGCCTGAACATCCTCATCGAGTTGGAACACCTCCGGTTCGTTACGAGTTGTCTTGTCGCGCGTGTCGAAGTTCTCCTGTATTTTCTCTGCCCGAGACATAAGAGAGTCCAGAGCAGAATCCTTACGAAGCGACTTCTCGGAGTCACCGGCCTGAGGAGTGATTTGCAATTCACGAAGCGGCGTGTTGTAGCCAGAAGATGTCTTTCTCAGCCCGTCGAGGACTCTTGGCTTGGATGCGGTGGTAGCACATCGTGGCCTAGGGGCCCTGATACCATGAACCACCTTGCCGTTCGCAGGCTCGCCATGTCCGAGCAAGAGTCGATCCCCTCTGGCCTTGTGCGCATGCAACTTCGCTTGAGATGCCCAACCCATGGTCACGGTCTGGACATCTCTCACTTTGTCGTGTCGGCCACAGCTCAACAGCGTGGCAGCACCGTTAAGAGACGCGCGCCACAGGGATGAGTCCTCGCTTCCCCACGGCAAATTAAGCAAGTCCTTCCATGCGCGGACTTGTTTATCTTCATCGATATCTTTGTCGCATCGGATCAGATTTCCCTCGGGGCCATCCCACTCGTACACGCAAGTGATTCTCTCCGGGTCGGCATCCAGGTTGATCAGTTCGAAGACTTTGAATACATCCCATGGTCCAGGATCGGATCCGGCGCGAGTAGTAGAGGCCATTGTTGTATCAGATATCGAATCGCAAGTGCGCGGTCCTCCATAGCACCGCGAGAGCTTGAGTCGAAAATTTGAGAAACACACGAGCGGCCGGGAAAAGGGGATTCGCAGGTCACTAAAATATGCGAAGCGGCCTCGCTATGGCGCCTTGTGTCACTTGCCAAGCATCGCGAAGTGGTTCTCCATAGAAGAAGCTCTTCAATGTCAGCCTTGTTGGATAAGCTTGATTGATGGTTTATGGCTCTACCAACCAGGACATGACAAAGTTACCGGAGTTCTCAATTCTGACGATAGAGGGGTCATGCAACGCCGGAAGATGGGTTTGGGAGATAAGGCCTCGACAAGTTTCCTCTTCCACTCGAAGCGTCCTGAGGCCACTTCCTTCTCGTGACTTCTGCCTGCTTCGCCTTATTTCGCCAAGCATGACTCTGGCCTATGACTCTTCGCTCGCTCCTACGCAGACGCATAAGCTGCAACCTACTTCGTCGACAAGCGTCACGCTGAGTCTGCTGAATCGACCTGCGTGCTTCTCTGCTGAACAAAAGAGCATTTGGCATTCCTTCCTTTTTTTCCGAGTCGTGGCTAATCTACCACGTGATTGAACAAGTATCAATGGAGAAAGTGTCAACTTAGCACATCACGACTTCGAACTTGATTCTGCTACCTACAGTCTGAAGAGACGGCTCTTTCTCAGAGGATGAATGGCATGCAGAAGAGAGTATTACATTGGAGAAATGTCGTCGACTTCCTCTTCATCAGCGCCAGCATTCATGCATTTATCTGTTGCGACAAGAACACAGGAGGCTTTAGTACTTATGCTGCCATATTTTGATCCCCAGAATCGGTGCTGTCGGCAGAGAGTACCGGTTACGCCACCAGCTCCTGTCACATAGGAGGACTACGGGCTTGTAAGGCTCATGCCTTTCCGCTTTCGGAAATCTATCGTGAGCAGCCTTTCGATGCAAATTCGACGCCCAACCACTTACAAGCCGTCGCCGTAGAGTCTATTTCAAAGTCACGTGAACAGTGCATAGGCCAGACTGGTCGGATCCGCAGCCACGTGTTCCGCCATCGACTGACCCCAGCCACGATGTGAGCCAACAACATCTGCAAACGAGGAAAAGCATAGCATGTTTCTACAGCATTTGCTCTCAAGACTTCACAGTCAATATCAATGCGAGTAAAGCTTGATGAACCTACCGCCATTCGAGTACGACTTCTCGCCGCGCAAAAGGCGCAATTCGAAGCAGAGAGTTCCATCAACGATCACATGTCGTCCCAACTACAATCTCGTGCGGATAGCGGACCAAATTATTAGCGTCACTCATGGTGCATGTCTCAGCGTGTCGCTGCAGCTGCCCAGGATGAGGTAAAGTATATAGTTTGGAGTCCCGTCACGTGTTCGCGACAGAGAAGCTGGAGGATTCACAGCTTGGCCCCCATCATGTGCGTTCTCACATTCTTTTTTCTCAACATCGAACCCTCCAGCTTCAGACATGCACCGCACAAATACCACTCAGCTCACAGTCTTTCAATGGCCTGCGCCAACTGCAGCGACGTTCACCTTCTCCTCACCTGACACAATTCGAATCTCCATACCGTTTGGAAGCAAGTTCGATATCAGGACTCACTGGCACTACACCGATCTGGATACTTCCAAACTGACTTGGGTGTCCGGTGGCCCAGTGATAGTCAGCTTTGGCCCCCGGGACAAGAATCGAAGCGCCAGTCACTCCGGAGCCAGAGGCTTCTCTCACTCTTTCCAACTCGACGAAACCTCCTCGTGGGGCGTGCACTACAACCGAAACAGTGCCGAGCTGGAGGAGCTGCTGGTGGTCGATATCGAAGCGAACACAAAATTGCACAGAAACATCTGCAGTGCGATCCTTGATCGTGACAAGTTTCCGCGGCTTGCTTCCACCCCATTCTGGATCAAGGGCTTGTTCATTCTGCTGTCGGCTTCTTCTCGCTTGCAAGAGTGGTTGCTCGAGACGATGCTGAGAGTACAGCTGCAGACCATATGTTATGCGCATGACTACCACATCTTCCATGGCCGGATCCCGTTCGATATGTTTTTTGTATGGCCGCTAACTCCGAAAGTGCGTATATGAATTATTGCGCAGCAGCGACCCAACTGACTTGTTGGTATAGGTGCCTCTTGCGACAGAGTTGGAATTTCGGAGTCGTTTCTGGATCAGCAAGATTGTGATGTCGAGTTGTTATTGGGTGGGGAGAATCTTGCTTGGGATGAAGGGAGAGTATGAGGAGTATACGCCCAAGTGTAGAGCGGAGTCATGAGACCTTTCCGAGGAAGAGCTGAAGACATTCATGTACTCGTGCATATATCCATCCTTAGCAAGCCATGCCAAAGTCTACCTCAAGATGGGGCCAGAGCAGAAAGTTCGGGCGGGCAGTTCTCCCGGCGAGTAGTGTTGGCACAGTGCGAGGGAATCATGTGCGTTAAGAGAATATTCCGTTTTCTGAGCGGAGGATGCCATTCCATCGATCGACAATACTAGAGGAAAGCCACAAGACTCGTCAGTGCTATCATTGATGGGATCTCACTCACCATCAGCTCCACTGCCTGGTCTCATGACATCGAATGGAAGATAGCCGGGGCTCAATTGCTGCAAGACTGGTATCAGCTCGATGACATACTTCTATGGGCTTTAAGACGAGCCTTACGATCGATCTCTGGAGAATCCACCACGGCACAGATCGATAGGTTCTCATGAGAGTGTGTTCGTACGGGAATCGGCATCAAAGTGACGTCCGGGAATGATGAACTGCGTCTAGAAATGACTGGATTCGTTTCTTTCACTCCACCAGTCTCATGTTGTCCTCAGCATTGTCAGCGGTGGACATGTATTGAAGTATCTTGGCCAGATCGGTCGAATCTGCAGCCATACGCCTCCAGGATCGTCTAACCCGAAGTGTAATACGAGCTACCGACTACAGAAACTCAAGAACAGGTCAGGCTCCCACACAACACTCATTTCGAAGCCTCAATATGATTCTCAACCAAGATGGGAACCCCATGGCGTTGCCACCGTATGAATACGAGAAAATGCCAGACAAGCGATCGATCCGAGTTCTCACGCTGCACCCAGGCCTCAAATTCCTGCCTCTCAAAATCTCCCTCTCAGTGATCTCGCTCGACGACCTTCAGTACCCCTACGAGGCCATCTCATACGTCTGGGGCGATGCAACAATCAAATCCCCAATTGCCTGCGACGGCAAAAAGCTAGTGATCACCAAAAATCTCAAAGAAGCACTAGAACAATTCCGCGATGAAGACCACCCACGAGTTCTATGGGCTGACGCACTCTGCATCAACCAAACCGATCTCGACGAACGAGCATCTCAAGTCATGTTAATGTGGGACGTCTACTCCCAAGCCTCACAATGTCTTGTCTGGTTAGGAAAACCAACAGCCGATATCAGAGATGCTCGAAATCTCTTAACAGATTTAATCCACGAAATTCGTAAAGGTTTCCGTTCCGAGGAACCTGAAGGAGAAAAATTAGGAAGCACTGCAAAACTCCCCAAAGACGGCGATTTCCGCCATCTGATTAAACATCAAGGCATCATCGGCGGTCTTCTACCACTATTGGAATCACCTGAATGGCAGCCATTAATCGACATATTCGATCTCCCATATTTCAGTAGAATCTGGGTGAGTTAAAATCTCCAGTAAAGAAAAGAATCAAACCGCCAGCAAAAACTAACACAGAAGCAAATCGAATCAGGTCATCCAAGAAATCAACGCATGTTCATCCGCCACAGTCTTCATCGGCCCTCATTCCTTCTCCTGGCCAGATCTCGTCCTCGCCGCACAGTGGATTGGGACAGAATATGATACGAATCGGAAACTTCACATCCAGCGATTAGCGCGGACGAAGGGTTGGTGGACTGCGGGGAATATGTCAAGCGTTTTTCGACGGTATACGAAAGAAGAAGATGTAGCGAAGATTTTGGAGGCGTTTCATATGTGTGAAGCGACGGATTCGAGGGATATGATTTTTGCTTTGTTGGGGTTTGAGGTTGTGAGGAGGGGATTAGGGGAGGGGGTGGTGGTGGATTATAAGGTACCTGTTGAGGAGCTTTATGCACAATTTGCGAGGATCGTGTTGGGAAAGAGTGCGGGGTTGGAGATTTTGTCTTATCATTGGCATGGGAGGACTGCTGAGAGGGTTAATTGGACGGGTACAAATTTGGCTGCGTTTCCTTCGTGGGTGCCGAGATGGAATGAACCGCCTGATCAGGATGTTTTGCTTCTTGGGCCGCTGAAGGAGTTTAATGCTGGTGGAGGTGTGGCGAGAGAGCTCCTCATCGAAGGAAATACGCTCAGCGTATCAGGCCATGTATTCGACACCGTGCGAGACGGGAGTAAAATCAAATGGGTCGATGTATCGCGCAACGCGTCTCGATACGTAACCCTCATGGCCCCAATGTTCGCGTGGCCTTTCAACATTAGCGAAGGCGGATACACGGACCTTCCCAGTGCAGAAGCGATCAATGATTTCATTTTCGCAATCACAGCCGGCTTAAACGAGAATCACAATCGTGCCATGGACGGATATCTAGAGAGAGGTTTCAATTCATGGTACAATACCCTTTACGCCTTCGGATACAATCTCTTCTCCCTCAAAGGTCACATGCAATTCAAATCTGTGCCGACGCCCGAATGGGAAGAGTATCAGAGGTCAGCGTATGCTGTCACGAAAGGACGTGCGATACTCAGGACGCAAAGTGGGAGGATTGGAATCGGGCCTTATGGTACACACGAAGGAGATTTGGTGTGCGCCCTGTACGGCGGGGACGTCTTGTATGTGCTGAGGCCGATCGAAGACTATTTTGTTCTCATTGGCGAAGCATATTTCTATGGTGCCATGGACGGTGAGGTTGTGAGCGATGATCAAAAGTGGCCACGTCGGGATTTCGAGATTCATTGACCGTGTAGTTGAGCAGCGCAGATCCAGGTGAATATAATGCCAACGGAGCTTTCACCGACAGACATGTCTTACGCCTTATGGCAAGCAGCTTGCGGGAAGTAATGATAGCAATAAAAATACTAGTCGTCGTCGTCATCATATAGTTCTCCGACTGAAATATGCACACAGAAAGCGCCAGCTGGCCCATAGACTCCTCGCTCGTACGATTAAAAACAATCAAGGAGGCTGACGAGCATAAACATTATGCAGCAGCAGCCGAGGTTCCGTTTCGACCTCTTCCTCGCTCCGAAAGATCTTCGCCCTTCACATAAAAACATCATGTACAGTAGAATCTCGAAAAGTCGACTCCGCCACGGGCTTCGCTGCTCCCTCTTCTTGTTGCCGAGGCCATTTATCGTTGTAATAACACAATCGAAGAAAAGTTGAAAATTCAGACACAACTTTTGTTCGTGCCGCTCCCAACGACTCTTCAGAATTCAAAAAGTCAATCATTCATCAAACCATTAAATCCATCCTCCCTGTACAAGTTCCCGCCCGACGAGTTCGAGCTGACCATCTTGCTCACTGGTCCTCCTCCTCTCGAGCACCCATCTTGGACGCCCGCTTTCAGGGTCTGATTCGCGCACATAATTAATACTATCAGCTCCACTTCCACTCCGGGAGTGCGAGCTCTTGGGACTGGTAGGACTCATCATTCTCGGCGGAATCTTCTTCGCCGTTACAGGTTCTGACACATTATTATTCGTGTTTCTTTTGGGTGTGGCGTCCACATCGAGAGCGAAAGAGTTGCCGTTGCTGGAGGTGGCGGACTGTGGACTATCGTGAAAATTAAAGCCTGTGTCAATAGGTAGGGGTTTCACGTTTGAAGTATTGCTTGATGTGCTGCTGCCGTTGCTGTAACCGTATTGCATGGGCGAACCGACGGGATGGCCATGTGCAATGGCGAGTCCAACATTCGTGTCAATACCTGGGCTCTGCACGTGGAAAGACTGTTGGCTTGAGCGATTGGAGCTGCTCCTCTCACTTCTTCCGCTGCCACCAAATGCTTGCGCTCTGAGTCTTCGCAAATCGTCGAATGAGGTGATGTCGTGTTCCATCAGCGGCGTGATGGGCATACGAGATAATGCCGGGGAGTGAGGTCCAAAGGGCCCCATGCCAGCCACAAAACTGTTTCGAGTGCTGAATTCTGATCGCTCTGTGATCGGAGTTAGGTTGGGCTCTCTTAAGCTCTTGTTCCGTTGCAGGCCATCATCTCCATCTGGACCGAAGTAGCCGCCGATAACAGGTTGCATTTCATTGGAGTTGGCGCGAGGCCGACCGTAAAATTGAAACTCCTGCCCATAGAAGCCTTCATCGTCGGACGCCAGTACTTCGGCATTGGCGGCTGCCACCAGGTCGTCGTCATCGTCGTAGTCGCCAAAGTCGCCAAAGTCGCTTATGCCAGGATCTGTGAATCCGAAATCGAAGCTACCGATCCGTGGAGGATGTGCTTTTCCGTTGGACAACGAGTCGCGCTGAGCTTCGACGCCGTTTGAACTGCCGTTGGCGTTGGGGTGTGGCAGGTGGCTATCGCTAAAGTCTTCGCTTTGGGAGTACATGCTCACGTCGTCACGTACATTGTGGGTATCAATGGCGAGTCGAGGCATCGCGGTCTCGCGTGGGTCGAAAGAGCTCCCAACCGTCGAAGCAATGCTTGGTTGGCGAACGAACCTCCCTTCAGCAGCAGCGCGATTTGCTGCGGCTGCCAGGGCTGCGTGATATTTCTGCAGACTGTCTTGCAAGTGCATTACAGCCTCTGGGTCGCTCTCCGATATTGGCGCGGGAGGAGCGCGATCGCTAAGGCCCAGCCCTCTTGCATCCTCAGAAGGGTTTCTCTGTGGTATATACTTGGGGTCAACGGGCGCTGGAATAGGCAAATCTTCTGCCATCAGCTGCGAGGTCCGTGCCAGTGCCTTCTGTGTTTCGGACATTGCGAAAGCAGGATACGGACCGTCGCTGCCATTGCTATGGTATGAAAGATTGCTGGGCTGTTTCCTGTGGGCATAGCCTTGTGGAGCATTCACAGCAGCATTCGGCCGGTACAGGAAACTGTCGTCATCGAATGCGTCCTCATTGAATCCCCCCTCTGTAGGTATCGGCTCGCCAAAGTCCACACCAATATTGCCATCATCGAAGTACATATCGTCTTGATTATCATCATAAGCTGTTTCGTGCTTGCGTCCATCTGCGTTTGGCGAAGACTTCACTGGAAAGTGATTGGTTCCGTTTTTGCTGGCAGATGGCAATGTGGGCATGCTATTCCCAGCTGATGTGGTGGATGCGCTATGAAGCCGCCGACCATTTATAGAGGCTGAACTATCGATGCGATCGTGTAGGTTCTGGCGGAACTTCTCCCGTGCTGACTCCGTCGGACTTTTCGGGCTGGTGTGCGCTGATGGAAGCGTTGGTGCCACTTGCTTGGAACCCGTCTGCGAAGCAACATTGCGCTCGGATTCAGTAGCGCGTGGCTGTTGCGGACCCGTCTCTTCTGCAACGTTGGCTGATGGCTTACCTGCGGTCGACGCTGCTGCCTCATTGAAGCTTCCCATTTGACCATAGTCTTGATGGTCGGCTGCAAGCTCGTCTTCGGAATCGCTAGCGTCGACGATTGTGGTGTTCAGAGGCATGCCGGACAATTGATGGCCAAAATCGAAGTCCGTGGAAGTGCTTAAACCAAGTCCAGTGGGTACTGGGAGTATAGTGCTGCTCTTACGATTCGCTTGCGCGTCATGCCCTTCCTTGCTTGTTGGTGGAACCATCGAAGCGAATCCGATGTGGTCAACATGGCCATCGCGAGGCGTGGTCGGACTTGTCCCGTCGTCGGGCCCACCTCGCGCAAAGTCTTCCGAGCTTCGGTCACTTCGCTGTGACTGCTTGCTGAGAGCGCTCCTGGATGGCGATGCAAAGCTGACTGTGCTAGTCGACTCGTTGCGATTTGTGTGTGACGAGGTCGTGTTCCTGTTGTTGTCAAAATTTCCCGCACTTGTACTCCAAGCCCCATCGGCTGCCGAACTGAGTGGCGTCGCGTTCGGCGTTCCGTCGATTTGTGATTTTCTCTGGGAACGCAGATCCGAGGATGCATTGCTGGAGGTTGCGGTATGTGAGCTTCCATTGGGCCGACCAGCAAGATCCGATGCAGAGTAGTTGGGCTGATCTTGCAAGTAGAGATTTGACCTGGGGTGTACAGTGTCGATCCGTTCTGCAGCATCACCAGCGGAGCTGGCACCTCTACTGTACTGAGTTTCGTCGCTCATTGGATCTGCTCGCTCCGATGGTGGTGTCGCGCCAATTGTACTAAAACTGAAGCCGCTCACAGCGCGATTTCGCTCACTGTTCCCACTGTCCCGATGAGGTAACGTCGGCTTCGGCAACAAGGTGGTCGATTGCTGCTTTGGAGCTTGACCTGGGACGTTGAGAGTCGAGTACGGTCGGGAAAATCGCTGACTGTCTCGATCAATGGCGCTCAAGTAGTCTTGCGCATATCCTCCGTATTGACCAGATGATGTGTTGAGCGTCGTTCGCGATCCATTACCCTGTGGATAGTACGAGTCTCGCATGTACGAGTCAATCGTGCTGTCACGCCAATACCCGTCAACTGCCATCGAAGTATGTCGAGAATCTACCATTGCATCGTGCGCCCGAAACGCAGGATGGTCTGCGTATGGAATGTCCCGTTCGTCAGTGACTTGGGGCATCTCGTCATCATCATATATCGATCCATCGTCACTGTCCGGCTGTCGTAACACCTGGCGAGCTTGCTGAAGGTACAACGAGCTTTGCGAGGTGCCTGCATTCGAGATACTCCCATCGCCGGGCTTCGATGGAGGTTGTAGCGCCGTGTATGGGACGTCGTCTGAAGAAGCTTGCATTTCTAGCTCGTCCATATCGTCCATTGCGTCTTCGTCGAAAAAGTCTTCATCATCTTCGTCCGGACTGTTTCCCCGAACCACCGTATGGGTGATCTCCCGGGAAGCAATTTTGCGGTGCTTCTCCTCTAGCGCTTGCTCTTCAGCTGCGCTCTCGCCAAATTGGAACGAGAACCTCGATGCATTACTTGCGTGCTTTCTAGGCAACGTCGAGCTCTTGCGAGAGTGGCCGACAGCAGATTTTCGTTTCTCGACAAGCTTCAGAGGCGTGCCTTGTGGAGAGGTCGCGGTATCGTCCGGAGATGTGCGCGGCGACTTGGCGGTTGAATCCGCAACGCCGTCTTCTGTTGCAATACCAGTCGACGTGGGATCTGAACTCTCAGCTGGTACTACGCTTGCCGTTTCTTTGATCGAAAGTCCATGTGCAAGGGACTTGGGTTCTTGCGCGGGTGCTTGCCGAGGGGCTGGCTCGATGGGAGAATTGTCAACGCTGGCCTCGGTGATGGTATCAAATTGTGGAGCCGCAAATCCACTAGAATATGGCCCTGATGTCTTGTCGGTGCTGGGCGAATGCTGGGGTTCCATGCCAGAGCTTCTGTTGTCATTTGCGTGCGAGCCCTGGGCAAGCGACGTGTTCAGATGTGAGACAGGCCTCGATCCGAGTGGACTAGTTGGGTCGTCGGAAATGGGACTGATGGGGTCGTGCCCACTGCTATGGGCTGTTACCGGACTGATCTCGCCAACGTCTGTCGATGACGAAGTGCGGCCCAGCTGACCTGTTGGATCGCTCGAGCGATTCGAATCGTCGTCTCGAAAATGGCTAGCTTGCATCGGGTCTAGCATCTGGCTCCGTCGAGCGAAAGGAGGCAGCACAGCACTTTCTTGAGACTGCGCCGTAGCATGGGAATGCTTCGAGGCTCGTTGCAAAAACTCCTTGTTTTCAAGATTTTCAGCCTGTATTGAGCTGATCCGCTTCGACGTTTCGGGATTCTCGTCCAGATTTTCTCTAAACACCGGGGTATGAGTACTTCGTCGTTGTGCGTCTCTGGTGCCTCTGTTCACCAGCGATGCATGGCGCGGAGGAAAGCTCGGAGACATAGGCTGCTCGGGGTACGGGCTCGACTGCATGTTTGATAACTGGGGCCCGTTCGCCTCGTCAAAGGTATTCCGTTTCTCTCGTGGTGCGCTGAAGTCGTGAACCACTTTGCCTCGAATTCGTGGGTCAAAGTCTGGGGGCGGAATGTTGACACCAGAAGCCAAGACATGCTTCTGTCTCGCTACGGCCTGGGCCTGAGCTTCGCGAGTCGCTCTTTCCGCTTCTACAGCGTCGGGGTCCTGCGAGCTTCGCCTGCGCTGCAGCAAGAAGATTGGATTCAGCAAACGGCCTTTCTTTTTAGGTACCTCGGACTTTCTCGACTCTGACTTCTTCGACTCTGACTTGGAGGACTTGGAAGTTGGTTTGATAGATGACGTGTGATGGGTGGGTACGGTCACCCCTGCGACACTGGAGATGAGGCCGGCAGTCTTGGGACGCGTCTTCACGTGCTGGGGCAAGGGAAATGAGTCTGCCGTGGCCGCGTACGGAGTTCCTATCGTCGTTGACGGGCCACCAGTTATGACAGTTTTGCTGGACGCACGGGTACTCGGGCGAGCTGTAGAGCCACTATAATTCGATTGTTGGCTCAAGTTCTGCGTACTGACCTGAGGGCTGATCATCCTATTGCTATAGATGGGCGTGGGACCTCTGATCGTCGATACCTTGGTCTTCGCGGTGGGGCTCAGATTAGGTGAGCTGTGATTGCTTTGCAGTGTAAAGGGCGGGGCGGGTTGGCTGTAGGGCTTATCGCGGCTGTCAATGAACGAGCGGTTCATTGATGGCATGGTGGCAGGTGGCGTCTGAGGCGCAGACGGTAGCTCAGCGCGCTGAGGGAACAGCGAGGCCTCCATCTTCAGGCCGAAGCCATTGCCATGTGCCGTCTTCGGCCTTTCATCCTGCGTGTCCGAGAGCGGGGTGCGAGACAGAGGCATTGGCTCCTGCTCATAGTCCATTGAAATGGTTGGCTCGAAGTTGGAGCTCAAGCGAGCGCTCAGCACGCTCTTGGTCCTCGTGAGCGTCGTTGTTGCACCCGTTCCGCTCCCTCCTGCAGCGCCTGGACTGGACGCCGTACCTCCAGGCCTGCCCAGACTATCGCCAGCGTTCCAGCCCGCTTCACGCGCCTCTCCTGCCATGATACGACGCGCACTATTACTATTACTTCTCACGGCTGTAGCTGGAATATGAGGCATCAGCTGCAGTCCGCCGTGCGGTTTTCGCGCTGAAGGCGGGCGAGCATTGCGGCCATCGCTGAGCGGCGGGGACTTGGGCGCGCTCTCGGGGCTGACGGGCGAGAAGGACGAGGCCAGATCGGAGGCGTGCGAGCTGTTTGGGAGCTCGAAATCGAAGGTCATCTGCAATGGCGAAATGGGCGCTTCGCTGGTCGTCGGTCTCGGCGGGAGAGGTGAAGTGGGAGCAGCATTGGTGGAAGTCGAGGGAGACCGCGGATGCGGTTCGCGGGCTCTGGCTCCAAACATCCTCTATGCCACTGTCCTCCCGCGCAGCCGCGCTCCGACTTGTGCTACTCGGCCGCAGCAAGGCGTGGCGCAGGGTATGGGCGTCGTATGTAGATTATGTCTGCAGGCTGGATCGGGAGCATGCAGAGGCAGGGTATGGACGAAGGCCAGGACCAGGTTGCGAGGCGAGACCTCTTCAGTGTGACGGCGCGGTCAAGCAGATTGGCGGTGCGGCAGCATCGTGATATCTCGTGGCTCGAGGAATCACGTCTCGCGTGGAGATATGGCGTGAGGTGGAAGACAATGCCGTTTCGTTCGTTCGCTCGCTCGCTCGTTCGTTCTCGATCGGTGCTCTCCGGCCAGCAAACAGGCGCGAGAATGGTGGTAATGCAGGCGGCGGTGGTGTTGGATATTAGTGCATGCGATCAGGACGGGAAGATCACCAGTGACCAGTCGCGAGGTCGTGACAGGGCTGTAGAAGAATGGGCGATCATTTCACATCGCAGTGCTATTCTTGAAGCAGCATAATGCGGGCGCGCACGGCGCCAGTGGCTGCGCAGGACCACGTTTTGGGGCAAGCGGGCTCCATTTGACAGCGACCCCCTACCGATGCTCATAGACTAGTTAGTTACTGTCGCGAGTCGTGCATAATAATACAACACTCGCTCTGCATCCTCGACCTGTTCCTCGACATGGCCATGAGCCGCGTCGACCATCGCGTGCGCATCGCATGGCCACAGCATCTCCCAGGCCGGGCACAATATCACGATTCAGGAGAGGTCTCGACCGTTGCGCAATGGTCGACTATCGAATTGGTTTGATTGTGCAGCGGCGGAACGAGCCTCCTGAGGCGTTGTGCCCGTCGCCCAAATCAGTAGGTGGGATGTTGATACGCGAGACTGCTGCTGCTCGGCTAGAATATCGCGACCCTCACACGACTGACGACACCGACCTGCCCATGTCACCCTCTCTCACGCGTGTTCACATCTCACCAGCCTGTTGATGCGCGTGGCCAAGCAGTTCGCCAGCCATTGGGCCGAACGTCGGACTGCACAATACGGCCCGAAAGCGCCATTACCACCACCGTCGAGCAACTAGCAAGGAGGGGGAAAAACGACTCACGACCGACTACTGCCAGACGAATATCGTGCTCACGCATCTGCTCCACTTTGCGCTGCACATATAAATCACGGCGTTCGTCTTCGGAGACATATGCAGTGAGGAACTTCTAAAAACACCATGGCACCCCACCAGGTCCATCTCCCCAACGGCCAGACGCTGAATGTGACTCCGGTCTTTGGTGGGTTGTACTTCAAGTCGAATGACTTGAGTCACCACCACAACGTGTTCCCTCCCGGCTGGACCATTATCCTGAACTGCGAGGATGACAAGGACGACGGCGAAGCAGCGCGCAACCCAGATGGAACGACCGACTCAGATGCGCAGCCACAGAAGAAGCAGGGAACATATCGTTACAAGCAGCCCAGCTTGAAAAATGATCATCTATACATATCCTCAATCTCGAATCCCGCCTCGACCGAGTTCAAGCCCCCGACGAGCCCAACGCGACAAATTGCCATGATGCTGTGGGCGACCTTGTATTGGTATTTCCACCAGAAAGAGCCTGAGCCGCAATTGACCACCTCTGCGTCAGAGAAGACTCCCAACGCTGGCAAGCCAAAGGGTGAATGGAGGATATACATCAATAAAGAAGGCATCTTCAAGAGCAGACATCTCCTTCCCAAACTCGAGAGAATGGGCCTCATTGCTTCTGAAGACTCTTCAGTCGGCCTTGACCCAGCAGATGGTCTAAGCAACCCGACTGAGGGCTGGACCAACATGTTCGTGTCGCGAAGGAGCTTCTGGCAAATGGACCCGAGGATATATCTCTTCACCCTCACTCCAATGCAGACCAATTCTCCGTACCCGTCTCTCAGCCCTGCTGGAAGTAGGCCATCTAGTCCAAACAGAGGCAACAGGACTCACGACGCAGAAGGTGGCACTCATTTACGCGACATGGCAGCATCGCAGTCGACGTTAATCAATCGCGCAGGCACGCCACCGGGACCGTTCCACTCTTCATCGCACTTGCCAACATACTACCCGCCTGCTCCACTGCAGTACGGCTTCACGAACAACTGCAGGCATCCCATCCGTCCCAAGCCACCTCGACAAGGCGAGACATTCTACATTCGATATATTCCCAGTCTGGGTCAGTACCTTACTTTCCGTGTTGCCTCACTAAGCAAACGCCCAATCACCTACTCTGGACCCTTCTCCCAAGCAGGACCCGAAGGTTCACTTACATCAGGGCGAGACATTCTGCGGCATCACAGCGCCCACTCCGACCCTGTAATCCCTACCATCAACACCACAGGCGCGAACCCCACGGAACCTCGCGAGACCACGAGCATGACCGATGTCGAGCTCCTAAACAAGTGGATGAACGACCCGCGTGTGGCGCACAGCTGGGGCGAAGAGGGCCCTATATCACACCAGGAAGAATTTCTAAAAGCCGGACTTACATCGAAACACTCCATACCCGTGATTGGATGCTTCGATGGGAAACCATTTGGATACTTTGAAATATACTGGGTGAAAGAAGATAAACTTGCCAGCTACCTCGGCGGAGCCGCTGACGATTTCGATCGGGGTCTACACGTTCTGGTTGGCGAACAAGAATTCCGTGGCCAGCATCGCTTCAAGGTTTGGATCACCGCACTGGTCCACCACTGCTGGTTGGCCGACTCGAGGACCAACACTGTCATGTTGGAGCCAAGAGTCGACAATGAGAAGTATGTCAACTCTTCCGACATGAATACCATGATATTTGCTAATGCTTTGGGCAGAATTCGAAAATACCTCGAAGATGTAGGATTCTATAAAGAGCGGGAAATCTCTTTCCCACACAAACAGAGCAATCTGATGAAGATCCGACGAGAAGCTTGGCAGGCACCAGCGATATAACAATCTTCTGTTATCTTATGACAACGGATGATAAGAAACGGCCGAATAACGATGACGCCCAAAATGGCATTGCAGCAGCTAAAATCTGTGCAAACTTTAGAGCATATTCCCCTTTCAACATTTTCAGGTCGCCGCGGAACGTTGAGAAACGTTGAGCCGAATTTGCACTCACGACCAACAAATCCCAAAGTTGAATCTGTTCTCAATTCTCTATCTTGAAGCCTTCTCAACCTGACAGTGTCGGCCAGTGTCGGCCGATACCAGAAATTCGTCCTGTATAACGCCATCTTATTCGAAACCAAAGTTGCCGCGCCGATACCGATGCTTCTTCATAATATCACGCGCAAGACCAACCCTTCCGATCCTGTAGTAGCTGACTGGCTTCAATTGCCTGCCTGCTTGCCATTGCTGTTTCTTCTTCCACTCGCTATACGAGAAAACCCAAAAAGCCAACCTCCCACCGCATCTTTCCCAAAGAAGTTGTTGTTGATATCATACCTAGCCAACAGCATACCGCCAACAGCATGCCGCCACCAGCTCCGACTTCCACCTCTACCGCAGCCGGTGTAACGTCCAACAACAAGAACAAACCTCGTCCCCTACTCAAAAATCCAACATCGGATTCTCAAAAGACCTCTTCTCATCCTTCCCCCTCCCTGTCACCTCACTCTCCTTCGTAGCCGAAAAATCCCCAACAAGTCCCTAACTCGTCCTCCTAGGCCGAATCTCCACCAAATCATCCTCCGAACTATCATCATCATCATCATCATCATCATCATCAAGCCCATCATCATGCAACCCCCTAGGCAAATCCCCAAAAGGCGAAGCAGCCCCACTATTCGCCGCCGAATCCAACACCAATTTCCTCTCAACACTCTCCGGCAAATCCCCAATTTCCAAATCCAAATTCACATCCTCAGAATCCTCGTCCGAATCATCATCCAGAGGTTTCCTCACTTGTGCTTCAGTCGTACTAGGTCTCCGTTCCCTTCTCGAAGAACGACGTTTAGTTGAAGAGGAAGATGCAGTATCGAGCCTTCGACTCGAATTCGAAGGCGAAGGACCAGGATCATCGTAATCTCCTCCATCTCTCGTCAAAGTATGATCTCTCCCTGCGTCATCTTCATCGATACTCGAATCGTCATCAGAATCGTTGTCGGAATCGGAATCACTACTACTAAAGAGTCCAGAGAATTTACTCCCGCTCGCACGAGAAACGTGGCCTGCTCCGGAAACAGTTCGAAGGCCTGTGATTTGGAGTCCGTCGAGACTTTTGGTGCTGTCGCTTTGTTCCGGGGAGTTTGAAAGTTCGAGGGGTTCTTCCGGGAGGGTAGAAGCGATTTCGACGGCGGAAGCGTCTGCTGCGTCGGGGTCGTTGTCGAGAGTTTTGTCTTGGTTTTTTTGCGCTAGGCGGGCGGCGAGAGTGCGTCGGGCTCGTGAGGGTGGGATATTGAGGGGTTGGACTGTGCCGGTGGAAGTCTTGTTAGAATCTGGTGATGGCGTGTCCTAAGCGAGAGATGGAATTGTCAGTTTGATGATGCTTGCGAAGATGAATTGCATCTCACATCTGAACATGCCAGTGTAGTGTAGTGCAGTGCAGTGCAGGGGCGTGTGCAGGTGCAGGTGCATGTGCCAGGGTAGGTGTGTGCAAGGTGCTGGAGGATCAAAAGGAATAGGGCAACGAGACAGCACGGATTTTTCATGCATGCCCAATTCAGGCAAAAAAAGAAGCAAGACCACCAATGACCAACCACCCTGCCTCGCAGTAGTATAACGGTCATGGATACGGCATCAAAGCGAAGCTAGTGTGGCTGTCGCGTGACGTCCGGCTCCAAAAGACCGTCGAAATTGTTTTACGAAGGATCGGACCGCAGGTGTCATTTGAACCCAAAAACAGCCACCATCGCGAAGCATCAATCTGCATCCGCTTCGGGTTCCGGCTCTTCTGGACAACTGTACATGTGTAGTCTTGGCTTGCTTCGGTCTTGCTGCCGATGTGTACTTTGTAGACTGGTTGTTTGTGTGTTGGGAACAGGTTGCGAAGTTCTGAGTGTTTGTGTGTGGAAAAGTCGTACAGCCTGTTCGTTGTGGTACAGCAGCCAGCCATTCATCGTATCTCTTAAATGTCCTTCCATTCGCTATGCTCGTCCATCTGTACATCGATAGGAGGATTGAAAATATGCAATAGGGTATGTGCGGGAGAAGTGATCGCGCGCGGAGGGGGTCATCGGTAGTCCATGTCAACGTCAAACGAAAGTTCACCGACCTGTTCATCCTCCGCAAATGCCCTCTGTCTTTCTCTCTCCCGAATGATGGCTTCGTCTTCCATTTCTTCGTCCTCATCACCGTCGCCGAATCCGGAGAGCATGGTTCCGGAGTTAATCTCGAAGCTCTGTCCGACCGAGCCTTCCTGTAACGCCAAACTGTCCTGTGGAGTCATGCTACTGTTGCCGCCGAGTCCTGCATTGGCGAGTGTGTTCTGGGTGTTCGATGAAAAGCCGCCGGAGAGCCCGCCTCCACCCATGCCCATCGACCGAATTCCTATTGCGTTCTCCGGCCGCACTCCACCAAGAACTGCATTGTCCTTGTCTCGCGTTTCCGCAAGCGTGCCTTCCACATACACGACCCAAGGCTCTCTGCTAACACGCTCTGTGATAGCCGGGTCTAGTTCCTCAGTCCCAATCTTATTGCCGAACTTGCACACTTCCTCGGCTATCAATGTCAGATGGCCCATGTAGCCCAACCGCATGCCCTTATGCTTCTGCGATTCGTCTGAGGCGGCTTGCCCATCTAGTATGCGGTCTGTGATGTCTTTGCCGGATGCAAGTCCAATCTCCTCTGCGGTCTTGCTATCTGGTCCTCGAGCTGGAGAGAAAAGGTCGAATGCCAAAGTTCGGTTGTAACCGCGGTCCAGCGTGCCGTTGAAGACTTGTTGTACAACATCATATACCACGTTATGCAAAAAGTTGTTCCACGGAAAACGGAAAAAGAAGTCCTAGAATAGTGGAATAAGTTTGCTGCAAAGGACACTCGTCAGTCGGAAGATGGAAAGGACACTCACAAGTATGGTTGGCACGACCTGGTGCTCCACGAATTTAATTTTGAGCAAATCGCCCACAACGGGGCTGCCATCAAGCTCAGTATCATAGGGCGCGCGTTCGCCATTTGACAATGTGCTCGGCGCTCGCGCATGCAAGGTCGCTGTGCTTTGCTCAATGTCTTGTGAGCTTTCACTGTTCGATGGTGTGGGCTCATTCTGACTTGCGGCTGGTGTCTTGTTAACAAAAAGTGGCGCAGGCTTCTCGGCTGCGCGAGCCAGCTCTCGCTCGAGTTCTGAAGGGGCGTCATCTGAAGGCATGCTCAGTGATTGCTCTGATAGGAACTGCTGATACAGTTGGCGCGCATTCTGCTTACCCTTGTCCTCCTCTGGCTCCTCGCCAAATTCGGACATCACGGTATCTTCGTCCACGTCCAGGTTGTTGAGTCGATCCGTCGCTTCTGCAGTCGTTGGTGAGTCCACAGAGTGCGTGGGCGGAGGGTCAAAATGGGGAGGTGGTTGCTTTGGAGGCGATGCGGCGTTCTTCTTGGGCGATAGCGGCTGTGGAATGGCGCTGGGGCTCATGGGCGACTGAGGCGACTGGTTTTGAGGATCAGAGGGATCGCGCTTCACCACCTTCTCTAGTTTTGGTAGGTCACTGTGAGTCGTATCATCGATCTTTTCGCTCAGATCGTCGAAAGTGACCTCGTCGGGGAAGTCTTCCGAGGGCGCATTGACCTTTTCAAATCCGTCCTCGTCCGAGGCATTCTGCACTTCCAGCTTACGAATCTCCTCTGGTTTCTCATCGAGGTCGTCGTCGCTGGGCCGTTCCGCATGATGGAATCCGTGGGAATCGACGCTACTGCCAAACTCGTCATGAGACATGTCTGGCGTAGGACTCTGACGTACGCGTGGAGTCGCAAGCTTTCCTTCTGCCTTGAGCCTGTTGCGCTCCGCATCACGTTTTGAAACTTCGTCTTCGGCGCCGCGTTCGTTCAGGAGGCCCATATTGCTGCAATGAAGCAATTCAGCCATGAGTTCGCACGTCTTGAACCGATCGAAGCCCAGGGGTTGAATCTTCCGTCCGAATGCAGCCTTGAGCTCTGGTTTCTGGGCATTGGGCGACCGAATCAGATGCATGAAGTCTGGTACGTGGGTCGCGAACTTGCGAAGAAGAGTGCCGAGATAGATGGGATCTGATGTCTTCGGCTCTGGGCCCACTTGATTGTCCAAATCGTAGTCTGAGTTGTTCTTTCGAATGACTTCAATCACAATGCCAACACCCACTGTCAACGGATTTCCGCCCTTCAGCATGCCGTCAATCAGCGTCTGAATGCATGGCTCAGACACCAATTGCCGTGTGAGCTCGTTCGGGCCGATGACCGACTGGTCCTGTGTTGTGGCATTCGCGGATATCGTGATGATCGCTTTCAGGAAGTCGCCTGCAGAGGTCTGAGTCGCACCATTATGCTGATCTGAGAGGTATCCGAGTAGAAGGGGGATTAGATTCTGCTGCTGTAGCCAGTCCACAATTCCCTGTCCGCCCTCGTGCTTCTCCAGTGAAATTATCTTGAGCAGCAAGTCCATGACCATGGGGCAGTCAACGTGCTCCAGCATTGAAGGAACAATGCCCTCGAGATTCTTAAAAAAGTCGAGCATTTCCTCCGTCTTTTTATCCAGTAGCGCTTCGTTGACTTTGGTGAAGTAGCCGGCTTGTAGAGGGTCCAGCGGCGCAGGACGCTTCACATACTGCCAGAATTCGCGCAGATGATCACGCTGCTCCAGCAAGGCTTCACTGATAGACCAGACCTCGGAAGACAGCACCTCGCACGCGACGTAGGCATACTTTTTCCGCTGTGCTTCCCTCTTCTCCTGCTCCGTCTCGCCATCGGCGCCCGTTTTGTTCACGGACTTTGATCGCGCTCGGTTCTTTCCTTTAAAGAAGGATATGCCTGAACTCTTCTCCTCCTCGCCTGGAGATTTGGGCGTACCGGGTGTGGTCTCTTTCTGCTCGCCCGTGGCTTCTGCATCTTCCTCCGACTTAGGCTCCGCGATGACATAGGCAAGTAGCTTCTTGAGGCGCTCTTCGTCCCGCAGAAACTCAATCAGCTTGCTATTCTGCTGCTTCAGCTCTTGGATCAAGTCGCTCTCGTCCAGCAGTTCCTCGAGGGTGACATCTTGCTTGTCGAGGATGGTGTCAATGGTGCTTATGTTGGCATATCCGCCAAAGCGCCAAAACATGGCTGCGCGCTATGAGACGCCGTGCTGGCGGTCGAGCACAGCGCGGGGATGGTGCGATGTGGGTGCGCAGCAGGGTCGGTGCAGCGGAGGACGGTGGTGGATATCATGCGTCTGCCGGCGCGAGTGGGAGTGCACGGCGGAGGGGGGTAGGATCAGGCCGTGGACTGCTGCAGCCGGCGCCGTCGCTACTGCCGCTGCTGCTGTGTCACGGCTGGTGGGTGGGCGGTGATGGCTTCTGCTGCTGCGGAGACCGGGACCGGCCAATGCTCTCGGCGATGGAGCGTGCGAGCGGGCGGTCGGTGCGTGCAAAGCGGCAGAGTGGTGGTGGAGGTCGGATGGGATCTGTGCAGACAGCGCCTGTGGGACTGTAGGAGTAGACTAGTTCTAGCGTAGCGCCAACTATGATGTCGAGGCCGACTTTGATCGCGTGGGCCGTCCGTTTCACCTCGACTCCAACAACAACACCTGACAACTACATGTACTCTACAGTTCTATTCCGCCTGACGCGCTCTTCTCCACGAGGACATATGCGCACAAGCACAAGCGCGATGCGACGGGTCAGCGCGACGTGTTCTCCAGCCGTCCTCGGCCCTCGAGGCTGTCGTTCCCCGAGCAGCGGCGGCATCTGCAGCCCTTCTCGTGCCCTTCCGACCTTTCTCGTCTTTGGTACGACGCATGGTTATCACATGAAGCAGCAGACATAAATCCTCACCTTCGCCTACTCGTGCTTATTCTCTGCTGGCTTACTCATTTGAGACGACATCTGAATACATCTTCATATGCCAACCTCAACTAATGCTTCGGCACAGGCTGCCGTGTCTCACATATATTTATTGTAGATACCAAAATCTACCGCTTGTTGCTGAACGCTGGACCAAAACCATCATCTTACCAATACATATTTCATCAGCTCCAAGTCGTTACTGCCGTTCGTATGCTCATCATATTCTCCACGATGCACATCCATCATGACCTTCTTTCTCTCTCCGCAGCCCACTCAGCCTCATCACGCAATGTCGCCATCTGCGCTTCCTCATAACCCGGCGGCGGCTCATTCGGTGGACTCGTATCACTTGCATGACCCATTTGCACTCCACTGTCCCGTTGTTGCTGCAAAACAGGACTTTGCGCGATGCCCATCGCCGTGGGCGCCATAAGTGGAGCATCGCTCTGTTCTGAATATGCTGGCAGGTCCTCAAGCGGTACCGTTGAGACATCGACTCCTCCGTTCATTGCCGATCTGGACGTCCCCGCGCCTCCACTCGCTCGCTGCGTCTCCGCTGCCTGCTGCAACCGCTCCCGCATCCGCTCATAATGTGTGTGGAAATCGAACGCGCCGTTGTCGTTGAACTTCAGGTTCAGCTCCAACACTCCCGTGCTGGGTATAGGTATGCCTCCACCAGGAACAGGTTGTACTAATGCTTGCCAGCCATTCGCACCAAACCAAGGCATCGTGACGTGGGAGTCGTGGAGGCTGAGGATGGGGCTTGCGAAGCTCTTGAAGTCAGCCGTCGGCTTGTCGGGCAGGTATATCACTCTCGAGTTCGTGAGGAATATTTGTCCATTCGTATGTGTGAGGGAGTATGGCTTTTGCTGCTTCCCAGGATAGTGTTTCGGCGTTTCGATCGACAGTTGGACCCGTTTCGGTGTTGTGTGGACGAGCTGCTCGCCGGGTAAAGGTGTGAATGGGGTGTTCGAATCATTCGAGGTCATGACCCAGCTGCGAATATATTTGTTAACAGCTTGTCTCTTCGATGATCGATGCTCTGTAGGCATAGCTCTTGCCGTGGCTTGCAGCCTAACGTGTACGCCAGACGCGACCAGAAGAGGCGTGAGAACTTACTTGATAGACATGGTGGGCGATTGGTGCAGCTATAAGTCAGCTACCTTCAACGTATGGGGTCGTATGTGGCCTGCACTTCTTCTACCGGGTCGACTGTAGGGAGAGTTGCACCATGGACTTGCGCCGGGCTTGTTGGAATGACTTAAGGTTGCACACCTGCGAGATCCCGCGCCTTGGATGCACGTCACCGTCGCGACCAATCAGAGCAACTTGGGTTTTGTGATACGGCGCTCCAAAGCTGTGAGTATGCAGCGTGGAGATGCGAGTTGTGAAAACGACAAGAAGCCGTGTCGACATCATCCCACCACTAGCTCACTGACATGTGCTTCATAACGAATGAGGAAGCGACGTTGCCGCCAAAAAGTCCGTGCACCTGCCCAGATCCAGTCCCGCCTTCCATCCTGTGCTTCCATCTACTTCCAGCATTCTTCTCGCCTCTCTCGTCACGCATCAACAACTTGCTCCTACCAACGCGCACAATTTATCTTGAGCGCAGTGCCATATTTCATGAGACGTGTGGCAACTTCTCGACAATGCAGAAAGGAGCACTGAAACATGATTCATCAAGTCTGGGCACTAGCCAATGATTTCAACCATCCTGCGCAGAGGAAATGTCCCAGCCGCGCAAACCCAACATGCCTGGCCTGTCGGTCAGCTACAAAGCTACCCATGACAAGCCTGGTGATGAGGAAATGTCCTTCCATCCTGGACCTTCATGAGTAAAGCAGTCCTCAGGGATGGGAAGGCGGTCCGAGTCATCACTGGGAGATCGTTACTGTACATCTATGCTTCTCTGCCAAGGAGGCCCGCCAGGTCTGCGAGATCTAGATGGCCGCGGGTTTTACTGACATTCACATGGAAGCTAGCAATACCGAAGACTACAGCCACGCGATGGTCCATGTGTCTTCGTCCGCTGCGCCAGCTCTCGCCAATTCTGGCGAGCCCAATGGCCGGTAGGTATGCAGTGGCGGGTAAGAAGAGGGCGAGAAAACTTCGAAAGCATCTTGAAGATTGCATCGGGCTAGGAGGTACCAGCTCAACCAGACTGCGCCGATGGCTCGAGCCTGCACGTACAGCCATCCCCAGGGGAATCTCAGCAGTTTCGTCGACAAAATTTCGAGCGAATGCAATTCTATCGGATCTTGCCAGATTTCAGACAACGGGCTTTGTCAAGTGACTGGTGTACAACACTGGAGCCTGGAGGCGACGGGTCAATTGCACTCTGGCCGGCCGTACCTGTCCACAGTGTCCTTGATGGAAAGCAAGATCGAGATTACAGTGCCATGCGTGTGCAGAAGCGGGCCTGCACAATGCTTGATTCCAGCTACCTGGGCAATGTGCCATGACGGCGAATGCGATTTCCAATGGAGGCATTTGCTTGTGATGGCCATGATTCGTGAAGCTCTTAGAAGGAGCGAGGCATGCCGCATGTCGTGTACTTGGTGGTTGTATCTCGCACCGAGCTACGCGGCTACGCCCTCGTTTCTGACGAGTGATCGGCGCCACTTCTGCCACTGGTGGAAACAGACTACGCCACACCAAATGCAGGGGTTGTGTAGTTGTGGATTGTGGGGACGGGAGACTTCGATAGTCCCCCCAATGTGCAAGGTCTGTCTATTGACGCCCGCACCACCGCAGCAAAAAGTCGCGAAGTCATATATTGTTCGCATGTTCAAGCATCTCGCCAGTCGTACAGATTGCAGCTACAACATGCGATTCCTGCGAACGGCATGCAGCCAGGATCTTGACGTTTGAGATAAGTTTGACCTGCTTCGAATAGGTGCGAATCGCGTTTCATCATCTGGTTGTTGGATACTCGAGCATGCAGAAGAGACCCAGGGCGGCAGTCTGAAGAACATGCTTCCGCCTGCAACCCAAGGGGCGCATGTTCCACTTTATCTCCATTTTGGGCGCAGTCCGACGATCCATCGGCCCTCGCTGCGCTTACAGTTCACGTCCGACTCGAAGCCGCCAATAGCGGGCGCTTAACTCAACCTCAAACGAGCAACATGCAGAAACGAGATTCGTCTTGTTTGCAACACATGCACGGATGAGGGATGGTTTCGGCATTGGCATCCCAGTCCATCTGGCGTCTGGGGAGCAGTTGTGTAGCCGCGGGATGGTCACGTATTTACCCATTTTCACATGCGCGCCCACTTGGAAGAGAGAAGGTCCAACCTAGACTTGATTCCCAAAGTCAAAGATACCATCAAACTAACCTGACCCACGGCATCACGCACGCAACAACCTCGGTCTTTCAATGAAACGTGAAGAGACGACGAGCATAAGCACCACTCGATCCAACGCCTTTCGTTAAGGGCTGGAATTGCACGCGCAACAAACCTGCCTGCTGCCGACGCCGAGTCAATGAACGACCAAGGCATGAACCGCGCCCTTCAGACCTCTGTATAGACCGAAGGATCGACATATACTTTCTCATTCGCATTGCGCCTAGCTCGAAAAAGCGTAGTTCATTGCAAACCTGCATGCACGCGAGAAGGTCTTTAATACTCCGGTACTTGCTACTACCTTGTTGCTGCTCGCTCCGTCAGACTTTGGACTCTCCCGCCTTCCATTGATGATCGCGGACGGTCTCGATGGGGCAACACAATGCCGGGGAACATCATCAACCTCACACCGGCCGACATTGCCAAATGGCCAACTCCAAACTATGATGATCCCCCTCGTCGACACTGGATGCCTCCATATGCGGCCATACTGTGTGGTGTCGCAACATTAATGGTCGCCACCCGATTATGGATCCGATCCAGGAAGCATGCTGGCGGTCTTGGGCTTGACGATGTACGCTCAGCAATGCCTTGAATTCATTTCATATCAGACTAACGTACAACAGGTCCTTCTGGTCTGCGGATGGCTTGGCCTCGTGTGGTTCACAGCACTGGGCATCATCAACTCCGAAGTGTACTTGACATCACGGCATATGTGGGACATTCCGATGGTAACCTACGAGAACATCGCGCTCGTCACCTGGATCGCCGAACTCGCCTTTCTAATCTGCTCTTGCTTCACTAAAGTCTCGGTCCTAATGTTCTATCGCCGACTCGTGGACCATACAGTTTCCAAGTACTGGATCTGGACTGTCATTTGCGCCATCTCGTTCACTATATCATATTCATTGGCCTTCATACTGGTCCTTATCTTCAACTGTTCACCAACGGAAGCCTATTGGAAGGCCTTTAATCCAAGCTGGACGGCACAGTATACTTGTGTCGATACGACTATTGTTAATTTACTGGCTGGGATAATGTCCATCATCAGTGATTTGTATTCTGTCATTCTGCCATGTCTCATGACAAGGCACTTACTTCTGCCCAAGGCGCAGAAGCTCGGACTTTTCTTCGTCTTTTCACTGGGCCTGCTCGCAGTTGTCGCCAGCTCCGTGCGAACTTACTGGTTGGTACGTATGATCAGAATACCAGAACCTGCCCAACGGAAGTGCGCCGCTGACTTGATATAGTACAAAGTCGGACACTCCAGCGACGTGTCGACCAGCATATTCTACGTCTTCGTCTGGGCGCAACTCGAGCTCAGTCTTGGAATCATGTGCACAGCACTGCCGTCACTGCGCGTACTCTTCCGAGAATACGTTAGCAGCCCTTTGAAAAGATCTCGATTCGGAGGTACTTTCTCTTCGAGTCGAAGCCGCCGAATGTCTGACGAAGTTCGAATCATACAAGGACAAGGCATTACAGGAATCTCCAGCGCGGATCTCGAAAACCAACAAGTTCACTACAGTGCCAAACATACACCGACATCTTCAACATCGACCTGCGCTGATGACGCTGTCGTGAAAGCTGATGATCAAGAGACAATGCGAGCTTCCTGGACAGAGGGCATTCCCTATCTCGTGACGACGCCAGAGCAATACGAAACATACAATCTACGTAACATGGAGAAGTACAGAAAATCTACGCATACCCGAGATGGATCAAGGAGCACAAAAGCGCAGTCTGGATTATCTCGCAAGGAAATCAATGTTACGGAGAGAATGTCGTCGGACAAAGAGATCGACAGCGCGGAGAGGAGCTGGTTCGACAGTAAAGACTAGAACAGATTTGGTGCTAAGTTCGCACCACATTATGATTGATGAAGTTAATGGCTCCACGATACGACAGAGGAGAAAGAACAGGAAGAAAACCACCCCACTGGTGCCACGATCGAAATCGGATTTATTCCACATCTCCCCGGTCCCGTCTGCGGTAGATGTGAGTCGGGCTGTCCAACACGGTGGCGCTCGACACATCCAGGCTCGGAAGGCTTTAGATTGAGCACCAACAATGAACGACAACGCGAATTGGGGCATTTGCCGAAAATTATCAAGGGGGTAAAAAGACTGAGAAATGCCGTGGGGAAAATGAAATGCGAGATCGATAGCATCGCAAGAGACGATGTATTGGCGTGGGTAGTAGACAAAATTTCGAAAAGACACCTGCTGAGAGAAGCATTTCAATCGAATCCCAGGCACGTCCTTTTTGGGCTATGAAACAACCCTAACCTGCCACTCCTGTGACAAGCCATCTAGGAAGCTGCAAGCGCGATTCTCTAAAACTGTGCCTATGTCCGGACCCTTGGTGGGCATGCGCGACGGCAATCTTCTGTGTCCAATAGTTCAGATGGGTTCAATGGGCAGGAGGCTGTTGTAGCAAAGCGGCTGCTCAAACTGAGCTTCTTTCGACGGCCTGTTGTGCGAAGATGTCGTTGCTCAGAGAGCAAGACTGAGCTGACGTATCACGTATGCATGCAGAGCCTGTCGACTTTCTCATAATGGCGAATATTGAAGGCATTTCGCCTTCTCAACCTCCAAACCCTCCTGCAAATCCTCCATGCCCATGATCGGAACCAGCATGATGTCCGCCGTGATCATGGCCAGAAACAGCCTGCTCGTAAGACGGCACTTGTGCAGAGCCTTCTGCAGCATCTTCTGCAAAGTCACCTGCATTGTTGGAACGACTAGCTTCTTGGTACGAGGGCAAAGCATCAGGGTCGTCCTCCATATCAATTGGCCTCGATACGTCGAGTTCCAGCGGCGGATGTATCGTCAAGGGAACATCTCTACTTGTTGAAAGTTGTTGTGAGCCGACAGTAAATTGGCTGGCTATCCGCAATTTGTAGGTTCGGCTGATGTTGCGGAAGGTGAAAGTTGTGGATACCCAGCTGAGCACTCCGATGTCGATTGCTTTGGTCATGCCATCTTCACGAGAGAATGGTCTTGCGGATGAGAAGGTGGCTTCTTTTGTCTTGACTATCTTGAGCGGTGCTGGTTGTATCCCGGTCGTGTGCGCGATGAGCGAGATTGTGCACTTGTCTAAGAAGACATCTGGGTTGGTTCTGGTGGTGCTCGTTTCGTCGGGCTCAATGGTAATTGCGAATGATAAAGGTTGACCAATGTACGCATGCAGAGGGATGCCAATGAAGTTTGCGTCGAAGACAAACTTTGGTGGATCGACCGGCTTGAGAAATGCTTTGGTCTTGCTGCGAAGTCCGTGAGGCTGCTCATATGCGGGTCGCAAACTATCGTTCTGCACAGTAAATCGTTGTGACGCATCACTCGTCAGCGTCTGGTCTCTTTGAGCGATTGCTGTCGGCACTCGTGGCTGATCGTAGAATACGGGAGCTCCGCCCGAAGCTGCGTCTGCGTTTACGATTTCGACATCGATACCTGGCATTCGGACCCGAGCTTCCACTGTATATCTGCTTCCAGTGAGTACTCATATCCTGCGTGGGCTGTCAAGACTTTACTTACTGCACCTTGATTGCTGGTTTGGTGACCGTATGCAGATTTGTAGATCCAAAAGTACCCCATGAATGCGAATTGTGCAGTACTTCGAGCGTAGGAGGCAACGGCCCCGTTTCTACACTCGACACTCGTTCTCGGAAGTTCCAGATCCCGTCGCCATCTTGCACCGCAGCTACAGCAGTGTTGGTCACGGGAGCCGCGAGGGCGGGAAACTTTATGCTGAAGTGGAGCACTTCTTCAGCATCTGCAGGAGCTCGGAAGGGTCCGTCATGAATTGTGACGACCTCTTTGCAGAGTCGAAATATCTCCCCTCGGCTTTCGGCTTCGTGATGTATACGGGCCTCTCCTTTGAGGACGATATCGACTTGCAGTGGACCAAATAGCTCGGCGTTCAAGGGACTGTTGATCCCTCGGAGGAGTGGTAGATGTTTCAGCAACACATTGCCGCTGACGGGGAAGTCATTTCCATAGTGAATCCGCCTTGGACTTTCGAGCACAAGCTTGTGGTGTAGTCCTCCGAGCTTTGCGTGGTGGATGTGAGGAATACGACTAGATTGGGTCATCGTGACTGTCTGTGCATGATGTCGTTGTTTGGGAAGTCAGAGGATATGTAAATTGGGCCTTCTCCCAGCATGTGATATCAGAAGCGGTTTCGCGAAGTAGCCCTGCAGGATTGGCGTGAGGCGCGGCGGCCTAGCTTCGTGGAAGGATGCACTAATCACACTGAACACCACCAGTGTCACGAGGATTATGGCGCAGCAGACGAAAGCTGGAATGTTCAGGGCATGTTGTGAGGCCGCTACCTAACAGGCTAGTAGAGCGTATCGGCAATTCGTGTGACCGCAGCACGGATCTGCCAAACGCGCCATGGACTTACACGATAGATGGTTCTGTATATGAGTTGAGACCATTTCGCCAGGAGAGGCTGAGCGATGCACAGCCGACAGCCGATGTTGTCATTCCGTCATGCCTGAGGCAGCAATTCCGGTCGACGTGAAATGACATGAAACTCTCTCCTCTCCTTCTCCATTCATCCACGACTCAACGAACATATCATGTTGCCCGCATTGTCATCAACACGTCGCACAAGAACAGCGGATACAGGCTTCGCCAGTGGGCCCCGGCATGTTCGCTGGGAACATGGGTGGCTCACGATACAGCCCGCTCAGTCTGCCTCTCAACATTCTGTGATGAGGAAGCTTCTCCAGGCTCGAGTTCGGCGACCGACTTGCGCAGAAGATTCAATCGTACAACTGGCACCGTCATCCTCGCCTTGGTTATATGCTCCTGAGTCACTTTCGTACATTTGCATGGCGCACAAACTCTTCTCCGTTCGGACTTTTTCCGATGCAATTGTTACTCCAAATACCGGGTTGTTCTGGCTGTACCAGGTGATGAGCTGGAAAGCTTTGACAAGCATTCGTCCGGCTCTTGCAGCTGTGTGAAGTGAGTTTTGTTTCTTGAACTAAAGTGTCTGAGTGTGGCGGAAAAAGGTGCCAGCTGCGTAATGGTCGAATCTAGGCAAGACGGCTAAAACTTCGCCGCAGCTCACCTTTGAGCCGGATTCACTGCTGGAGCATAATTGAGCGCCATGCGAGTCTTGGATACTAAGCAAGCAGGCATCAATAGTTAACTCACGCTTCCATGAAAAGACCGCTGTATGCTGGAGAAACTACATGTGATCAGCATATCTAGTGATCTAACCATTCAACAAAACCGAATTGGGTCCGTCGGCGCGATGACTATCCCTGATGGTCAGCTATATATGTGTATTGCAACTTCTCCGACTTCAGCGATGGGTCGCTAGAAGGATACCAAAATTCACCCATTCACCAGATTGGATGATATGGACTCTCCAGCATTGGCTAACATACATGGTCACGAGGTCGACTGCAATACAAGGACGTGTGGCGACCAGGGACAACGGTTGCGAGCATCTTGCGATATTTGCGGCAGCCTCAAGATACGATGCAGCAAAGAAATGAAGGGTTGTGAGCGCTGTCGGAAGAAAGGACTCATCTGCACATACAGCCCCTCTAGGCGCACTGGGAGGCCCTCAAAAAGCCGACATGGTCGCCAGGGCAGCCAAGAAAGCAGTTAGACAATCGCAAGTACCCTCACCAGCTACGCCACCCACTAGCACGATCAGTGATATGTCCGACTCGGCCAAAGAAATGACATCGGAGTACGATGCTATACTTCATTCACTCTTCGAGCCAGGCATGATGGACGTCTCAACCATGTCTTCAAATCATACCGATCCGCCGGACTGGAGCCCAATTCTTCGATCTGAAAATGATCTCAGCGCTCAATCTGGAACTGGATCTGATCTGTGCTCGGAGATGGTCGATGTGCAGCGCGAGGGTAGACAGACGGCGCATCCGAGATCCGAGATACCAAGCCAGTCGAACATGGTGCCCGTGGTGCAGTTGCAGATGGCAGGAATCACGCCAAGACAAGCACATGACAGTGAAGACTGCATCTGCGTCCTACTTCGTCTCATTTCCAGGTTGCACTTACCGGATCCCTCCTGCGCAAATACTGAGTGCAGCAAGCAGCAGCAACATTCTACGCAGTTGGAGCACTGCTCAAGCTTCAGCTCTGCTTCGTCGACGCTCTCGTCTAACGCACTTGACACAATCCTTCTCATCATCCGCGAGTCCATGCACGCACTTGAGTCTGCTCTCTCTTGCAATTGCTCGCATGACAACTCGCTTATGGCATTTTGCAATGTCCTCACAGAAAAGATCATCTGGTGGTACAGACGCATAATCGAAACGAGAGAAACGAGCGGAATTGCTCACAGTGAATGCGGGAGGGCGAACCCCACTACGATGTCCCTGGGACAATACACCCTACAGCCCGAGCAGCAACAGATCATCGTGCAATGTATAATATTGATCGATATGGAGTCGCGACTTCTACCAATTCTGGCGAGACTCCGGAATGTGTCTACGGCGGAGTCGGGGAACAGTGCAGATGATTTGATCGTGCGCTGCAATGCTTCATCGTTGCAGTAAAACCATTCCGGGTTTATGACGGTGCTTGGGCGTTTGTTCGTGACCTAGACCTCGCTGGCAGGGAGAGTGCTGAACGCACAGACTTCTACACATCCACCTGAAGATAAGCCTAGCTCTTGGGTGCGAGACCGCCATTGATTCAACTTCCGTCCGGCCAACCTCCGCTTTGCTTTTTTCAACTCCGGCCCGGATCATCCACAATATGTGTTCCGCGCATGCGTCTTACTTCGTGCATTGACCAGCCGCTGCACTCTAGGACATCTCGTTCGCGATGCTTTCAGAGGCTCCGCCTATCTCAATTGTCTCTTAATTGCACTCTCGGTTCCCGATGTCTTCCCTCTTCTGCATATCTTCAGCGGCCTCGCCTCTGTATAGCGATATGTTCTGTGGTCACGGGAAAATCGGGTCAGCGACAAATGCTTCTTACATGGTTGTAGCCTGCAATACTCTAAGTCCGTACCCGAACATAGTGGCTTGGTGAGCCTCGCCTGCGCCCCTGGCTTCACTTCTTAACAAGCTTTCGTATTCTCATGCTTAGAGCAAGAAGTAAGCCCAAACTAGGCAAAGCCTCGATCATATGTTCGCTCGCTTATCAATGTCTTGCTTTCGGACGCCTCTGGATGATGGACCATCATGCCGGGTCCGTCTTGAGGATGACCAGAACTGCCGACTTCTTGCAAGAGAAGCCCCGCGAGCTCGTCTCCACAGTCGCCGAGCCCGCATCTATTCGTGGCATCGACAACCTGGATGAACGTGGCAGTCAGTTCAAAAAATTTCTTCCGGCATGTAGACACGGTTTTCGCCGAATCACCAGGCAATCGCATCGACCTCCGTGCAAGCTATCGTTATGTAGTTTGACACGCTCCCACTTTACGATCGTACATTCGTCGGAACGATCTGTCGACGGCACATAGTCCCTGCTTGGACTCACGTCTTGCTGCTGCTGCTGCGGACAGCAATGAGAGCCCTGTCAACGCTACTTTGATCTATGAGATCCTAGATCCTGCGATTGATTAGTATACACCAGCATGATGTCTCTTCCATCTGCCTATCGGACAGCTTTGCAAGCCTAGACCCTAAGACTAGGGACGATGCCAACGCATGCTTAACAGTATAATCTTCTGCAAGCTTTCCACGGGATGCGACATCGTATTATGCGTGCAGCAGCATGTGTTCAATGCACCCGCGCCGAGCTGACCCGCAAGGCACTTTTCGCCAGGACTGCCCTGCTTACACAAAGCTTATGCGTTGCACAGTCCAAATTTAGCTGGAGTTTCCAGGAAAGATTTTCCAGAACTGCCGCATTGAGGGCTTGCGGCCAGGACAGTTAAGATATTAAGACTAAGGTGAGTGGGAGAGACAGATCACAAACTCGACTACAACTTCGATCAAAAATTCACTACCTATTGCTGTTACCCAATCCGTCCATTGCACAAACCCTGCCAAACGCACCAATGCGTCTCGATATTCTCCTTCTCGGACTCCTATGCTTCGCACTCGGAGGAAGCATAGTGGCGCGCTCTACGCCGGATATCGATGCTGGTTGCACGATCTGCTACAAGCCAACTGATGCCGCGTGGCAAAAATGGGTCACCGACACAAATGCTATTCCTGTTGAATTGTATTCTCGTAGGCACTTATCGGATAGGTATAACGTAGTAGAAGTAGAGATA